GCGATACACCTTATACTAAGATTTAATAAACATTTTCTAAAATCTATGTTGGGTGAAAATCAATTTCTGTTTTTTTTAATTGCCGGCAAAGTACCTTTTTATCCTGCCAAAGCCAGGTTTCGTCGCTACTAATATTCCCGAAGGGAGCCGTACCGAAGAAGGTGTTCGAAGAAGGAGTTGAAAAACGTGTTAATTCATAAATATATGTAATTGATTGAAAGATTAAAGAAAAGCAAAAAATCTGTTCTTTTCGGTGGAAATCTGCACAACATTTGGTAATAATGGGGTATACGTAATATACAAAGCATTAATACCGGTATGAATAGCACACCGTGTACAAACCGGGTGGTTTATTACCAAGCGGTAGACATTTTACTGCATATTGTAGTACATCTGTCGTACGTCATGGTATTAATTTTATCCGAAAAGTGTTCTTTATTACCACTTCGGGTTCAATCAATTTCTTTACCAGCTGGTGGTTATTATTACCGTTTCTGCAGAGTCATATACGTGTGCATTTTGGTAATGATTTTATTTAGAGTGTACCGGTTTCTCCTGCCTTTCCTATAATCATGGTGGGATGCCTCCATTCCTTAATGACGATGAAATGCACGTCATTTTGTTTCTGCTTTCCGGATACAGAATCCAACCTGATCGGAACCCTGGTTGCGTTTAAAGGGATCGTTTCCTGAAGAGAATTCGGATCCAGGTTGGAATCAATTTCACGTCGTTTTTCCTCGTCTATTACGATGATTAGAAGGACCAGCAGGACATAGACGATGAGTATGCCAGCAAAAATAAATATTTTGCGAAGGTTAACCCGTTGAGAGGGAGGATTCATCGTCATTTTTTGGCAGAGGAGAATACTACTTATCTGTACAAATTTTAATTTTTAATAGGGAACTTATATACGCACTTTTTCAAAAATACTGTGTTTTTAATTTGTTTTTTGAACAAGTTTATACATACATATTTTCTATTTTTTATAAATATTTTAGTTCGGCTACAAGATTGCAGAGTAGCTTATTGTGCATGGATTTTAAATGGTTTAGTTAAATCACCACCTTCGTGAGAACTTATTATAATTATTTTTAAACGGTTAAGAATTATGGAAAGTTTTTAAAATTCGGTTCACAACTTATTAAATTTTAAAGTTAATCAATGCATAAACACCTTCGGTACTGATTCTATTTTTCTTAAAACTGCGAAAACAATGAGAAAAACTGTACACAATATTTGCACTTTTATGCTGGGAATTTATGAAATTAGACAATTAGTGTGCAAAATATTCCTGTATATCTAGAATTTATGAAAACTGTGTACAAAATATGTATTTCACACTTTTATGTTGAGAACACATGTTGAATAGAATTCAGAAGGGATCGATAATCCTAATTTTTTGGGAAGGGTGAACTTTTGTTTGCATCCCTTTCATGTATGTATGTACATAGGGATGGTGCATGCATTAAGGATTTGGTTAAAACGGGGTGGTCTCGCTCCACACTCTAAGAAACCTGGTAATAAAGTTATTACCAGGCGGAGTATCTATGTGACTCTACCGCATGGTAATTAACTTATTGTTGGCTGGTAGAAAATTAGTTACCAACTGGCAATATTTTCAAATTTCCCGACCGGGGTTATTACCGGTTTGGTAACAAAATGTCTACCACTCATTACTAAATTAATTACAATGCGGTAGAGTCACCAATACCGTACCAACCGTGGTATATGGTGGTATCAAATACCAGGCCCGGGGCCCGCAAGGGCCCGGGCCAGGTCACTAGCTTTACACCAGATATAGTGGACTTTTTGTGTATTGAAGATTTTACAAAAAAATATTCCACGTAAATAAATTTTCCTATAGTGTGTCCTAAAAGTTTCTCCCGATGACTTGGTTTTTGGTTGCTAGCTTTTACATCGGTGAGTTCTGTTGTGCAATTTTTTTTTGCAATATCATACCAAAGGTAAAGTCTTCTCGCCAGCAGAAGGAATTGAGTATCCTATCACTATCCAGTGAAGGGGATGAAATTTATTGAAAATAGGCAAATCTGAAAAAAGCTAGGATTGCGGAGCAACAAAAAATATTTAAACCGAACTGTAGCTCAGATAATTCGGGGACACATCCAAAAAATGCTAAATTATATAAAAAAAAATTGGAAGGAAATTGGCTAATTCTGCTATAAAAACAGGAGGTGGATAATTCTTGCAAAACGGCACTTTTGGAAGAATTGAAATACTTTGATAAGTACTTTTTGGGACTAACCTGGAATTACAAGGGAGGATAGCCAAACATATAGGGGTCAGTATAAAACGCTTTTGAACCCACGTGATATCTGTTAAACTTCGCCAAACCAGTTAAAAACATAGATTTTCGACTATTAGGACCCCTCTGGAGTGCGACGATAAGCCCATATTCACCGATAGGAGATAAATTAAATGGCACGAACAATTAAGTCCACAAAATTTGTGATGTGTGAAAAAAGATATGAAGGGTGTGGAATCCATGACAAGGCCGAAACCTAACTTCGAAATCCCGGTCCCAGGTTGGCTTCGTAACCTAACCTAAGGACCACACATTTTGCACTACAGTTTTAAGGCATGAATGGTAGAAATGCTGAACAAAGCCGAATTACGCACACCATATTAAGGTACTTTCGAAAAATGTAGCAATTCGAATAATTCGATCTCTCTGAATTTGTAAGGTAACAAAATTCATGAGTGGTTAACAGGGAGAAACTTTTAGGACACACTCTACATCTAACATTAAACTGCTAGATTTATTTGTTTTTTGTGTGTAATTATGTTTGTATGAATTTAGAGCAAACATACTGTGTCACTTTTAATTTTAATAGTTTGATTTTCGAATTTTAAATAATATGAAAAACCTGATTTTAGCTGAAATGCTATTTAGAATTTCAGTTAAAAGGGAAATTAGCGCACTTCAAGAAAACCTAAAAGTCAGGATGGACTTAGTTCTGTGCTTGAGGAATTTAAAATTTACAGGGTAAAAATCGGAGAGGATCACATCACGCCTGCGCATATTTAGTTACAATTCCGAAATATGTAAATTACCTGACACCAAAATTTGCCAAAAGTTGCCATGTTGCTATTATACTTTGTGGGATTTTGGGAAACTGTAAAGTGTTGGTACATTCTTAATTTCTTGGAACCGAAAATATGCGAACTTCAAAAATTCAATGTGAAAGAAGCAACGATGCTTTCTGGAAACCCAAATGTGCCTCGCTAGGGGACAAATTTAACGTAACCCAGGGATTGGATATGAACTTAGGACCATTAACTTACAATGCGATGACACCATCGGTCTCTCTCCATTCTTGACGAAACCACGATAGTTATGCAACCTTAGACAAATAATAGAACACGTGTTTCAGGATTTTTCATAATGCTCAGCTTAAAGAAATTATAACGGAATCCGTGAGCGAGAACTTCCATTTTGACCGTGACATTTTCTTGCGAGGGAGAAAAATACAGATTCTCGCTTACGAATGCCATCATACATAATTTCTTTTCAGCTTAAAATGCGTGGGCATAGATTGGTTCCCTGCAATTTTGACCCGACCAAATTAGATTGCATACAAAAGGAAATAAGAGGACTTGTAGTTTTGTGCATATTTTCCTGCATACCCCGTTTTCGCCTGTGAGAAAATTTTTGAATTCATGTTGAGCCAAATTTTTGTTTTTCAAGGTTGTGTAAATTTTTAAATTTTGGAATGACATTGAGTTTAAGGAAATTCTCAATTTCAAAAACTTCAAATTTTTCGAATTTTCTGATCTGTAGCATATTTTGATACAAATTTCAAATGTTAAAAGTTCTCCGACAAACAGTTCTTATAATTTTATGGAAGTAATTTTGAGCAAACACGTTCTTTGATTTTTAAAATAGCGTTAAAAATTCAAAATTAACAGCTTTCTCAAAAATCCTGACTTGGCTGAAAATGTTGTATCTAAAAACTTGTCACAACCGAAAAACGAACACACCGGAAAACGAAAATTACGGGTCAAGTTATTTCAGTGTGTGAGCAACTTAAAGTTGGTTAGGCCAAAATCCGAAGAAACCAATTCAGGTACACGCATTTTAAGTTTAAACGGAATTATGATAGAGTTCGTAAGCGGTAAAAATAATGGAAATTCTCGCTCACGAATTCCGTCATAATTTAGGTAAAGCTGAGCATTATGGAAATCCTGAAACACTTGTTTAATTATGTGTCTCAGGCAGAGGTCGACGCCGACAAATTTTCGGCGGCAGCTGCGCCAGCTTTTGGTGATTTTTCGGCGGCGTCGCAATGTTAAAGGAATAGGGAATCAAATTCTTCGGGGCGGCGTGAGGTCGGCGGCGTCGACCTCTGGTCTCAGGTTGTGTAATTATTGTGGTTTGGTCAAAATCGGAGAGACCGCTGACGTCATCGCATTGTGAGTCAGACTCTAGGCTAACTGCTTCAGGCCCAAATGTTTACGATTATATATTTTTTTCGTACCGCTTGGTTGAATTTTAAAAGCTATTTTCAGCTAAAACGTTGACTTTTCAAAATACTGTATGTTTTTGAATTTGTACCTTTTAAGAAATCAAAAATTCGTGTTCTAAGCATTAAATAGAATTGAGTTTTCGGACCTGCATTCTCGCCAATTCCAAATGAGTTTGGGAATTTTTTAAACTTTTAAAACGGATAGAAACGTAATTAATCGAAAAGGGTTTGGGAAACGTTGCGAAATAAGCGAAAAGTGTGTCATATTCGCATATTTATACAACTTATGCTTATATAATTTAATTTTCTCCGTCCCGGCGATGTTTTAAAAGTGTTTAAAGCGCAAGTAAATTGTCACTATCTATTTTCCCATGGAACTGGGAAAACAGTGTACTCTTAATACCTGTAGAATATTAATAAACGATTACATAATATCGAATATATTGAAATGATGAAAGGGCCCGGCACCGAAGCTCATACCACGCCTCACAATTTCACGGTACGGCTCTGGCTGAATTCAAAAAATTAAAAAATCGTCCTGCTCGTGTAGCGACCCCCAAAGTGACACGTAGACTACAGCAGGAATGACAAAATAACCTTGGAATATCAGATGGTAATTTGGGCTACAAATTGAAAACAGCAAAATTAAGTCTACATGCCGTTAAACCTACGAAGTTGGGGGTCAAATCCTATAGGGCGACACCTGCACCAAAGTACAACCAAGGTCAGCAAAAAAGAGCGAAGCACAACTCTCGGCAGAGTGCTGAAAAATGCGTCAAACAAAACATGCCCGTGATTCTGGTCGTGGATGATGAGACCAAGTGCTCGATTGATCCAGATCAAGTCCCTGGGAGGAAGTACTACTCGTGTACTAATAAAAAAACGTTTAAATATTCCTTCAAATACACGCCGAAGTCAAAATTCCCCACAAAGCACATAATCGGGCACGCATTGGACTCATTGGGGGACGTCTCAAAGCCGTTCGTGACCACAGCTACCATGACCTCGGAGAGATATCTGAACGATTGTGTAAAGAAGATCTTGATCCCCTTTATCAATAATCGTAATGTACTTTTCTGACCGGACACAGCAACATGTCATTCTTCAAAAGTTATTCAGGATTACCTGCGGTCGAAAAAAATCGATTTTTTGCAAAAAAGGAATATGCTCCCTACGTCCCTCGGGCAAGACCAATTGAACGATGTTGGGCATTATGCAAGTGAGAATATAGTTGTCGAACAAAACCACCCAAAAACTAGGTAAGATTCCGTTACATTTGGACACACACCTCAAAAGAGGTAGCGAGAAAGAGTGGCAAAGCACTTCTGGGGGCCGCGAGACAAAATATTCGCCAGATAGGAAGGATGGGGGTCTATGGACGGAATGAAGCAAAAAATTGAACGCTAAGGACCTTGTTCTTAACCCCTAAAAATGTAATTGGAATTAATTAAGTGTTCCGGATTTTACAGGATTTTTTTCAAAAGTTTCTTTCTTTTGTAATCGCACTCTAATTCATTTTTGTCCTGACTATACCCTCCCCATCCTTGATATGGAACATTTAGAAAGATTGAAAGCAATTCATGATACCGGGTCGTTCTTCGAATTCAAGGTATACAAATTATACGGAGCTTAATTGTAACAAATATGTATTCATTGCAAAAAGCATGATTTCATCTTTAATACTATTAAACATGAAATGATGATACTATTAATTTAATACTATTGAGGGTGTTCATTAATTCTTCGAATCCTTAGTATTCTTCGTATCGTAAAATAAGTTACTATATAGATTTTCTTAGCAGAGTAAGATTTTCTCATTAAGAATCGCGTTACTACGCTGACGATTTTTACGAAGCTTGATCCCTTGTTTTTACCTCGTTAAATATTTTACGATGCTAAAGCCTAGTACTCAGGTGGGATTAATGTACCGGGTACATTTGTGTAATCGGATAGTAGATTATAAATTCGCAATTTTTATATGTTCATTTTATTATGAGATGTGCCTAACAAAATTACACATTTGAAAGTTACGAATTTGCAACTTTCCACGCGATGAGAGAAATTTATCCGGTACATTTATCCCATCTGGACACGCACCTTAAGGATACAAATAATAATGAATATCCACATTACATATGTATGTACATGTTTACACATATTTCAGAATTCCTTACTGAGCCTAAAAAGTCAGTCTGCTGTTGACCCAGGGTTAAACTATGGTTTACTAGGTATGTAATACTTTTTGACTGATAAGATCGACATATGATAGTACTTCTGCAGTGACAATGAACAAAGCAACCGGAAATATAAATATCAATTCATAGTTAACATTAAGGAGGGAAGTGTTATGTGTATTCCGGACGTTAAAAAAATGTTTTAACCCTAATTTCATGGGGAGCATGCATAAAGAATGTGATTGATCCGTCTAGGGAGGTGGGGGTTGAAATGAGGTAATGCTACGAAGGCATGTCACGTTGAAATTATTTAAAACATCGACTAAATACGTAATTATTGTAAAACGAAATTATTTTTAGGGTGTATGTAAATTGTTAGAGATAATTCCTAACAATTTATTATTTTTAAAAACCCAATTGCCATGAAATTTGAATTTCGGAATTTTTCGAAATCCATAAATATACCAAATTAATATAAACTTTTAAATTCTCAAATAATATTGCAACTAGAATTTTATTATGCCTGCTGATCTAACATGTTTAGAAAAGCCTCAAATTCGCGGCTCGGGCTCTAATTAGTGCATTATGAAAAAGTGCAAATCCTGGTTTCCTAATTTTTTACGGGAACCAAACGATTTATTGGAACCAGGCTCAAAAATCTGAGTTTTACACCTGAAAAACCTGCAATGTTATTAGTACTATGATTAAGATACAGGTACAAAATGAGCCAAAAGTGCAAGTCTTTTTCGCATCGATTTCACCAAATTGCACATAAAAAATTACAAATTCAGTTTTGGGTGGGGGATTAATATAGCATAGCTTTTTTGAATTATATTCAACCACACCCCCTTCAAAAATTGGGGAAGAAAATTGGGAAAAATGAGAAGGTCAATGTACACTCGGTACAGAAAGAAGTAGATACCAACTTGCATTTGACATTTGACTTCCCTCATGAGTATGAACATTTTGATGCATCAAGACTTTCAAAATTCGAAAATTGTCGGTTTTTCGACCTACATATAAATCGTTAAAAAAGTGACCTTAGCGGTCATTTTGCGGCTGACAACCTGATGCCAGATTTTTCTTCGTCAGAAGTGCCAAATTTTCCGCTTTTGTTGTCCGCTGCGAAATGACCGCTACCATGACTTTTTTGGGGTCAAAGTTTCTGAGGGAGGGGCTTATACAGCAAGAGCCATAACAAACTCTGGCCACTAATGAGTACAGAGAGAGAGAAACAGAGTGAGAAAATGGATCGCGCATACGATCCTAACGCACGATGGTGGTGGATACCCACCGCCAACTACTTTTCTCACTCTGTCTCATCTTCTCCTGCGAATATGGGAAATGATTTTGTGTTACATTTGGCCTGGTTTTTATCTACAGTCAAAAAGTATGCGTCCCTTCGTAGTCGCCAGGCTGCTCGGTCACGTGGGCACAACTAATCCCGCATTTTCTAAGGATGACATTCATTTGGACAAAGAACGCTTTGCAGAGTTTGAAATTTTAATTGGAGAAAGCACAAATCTAAATTTCCTCGATGCTGGAGATGGTCAATCCATTTTGCACAAACGGGCCAAAATTGGCTGCCTTAAAAGCGTTTTGTTTCTGTTAAGTAGAAATGCAAGTGTTAATTTGGTTTCGACAAGTGGGGATTATCCGATTCATTTAGCAGCCGAGTCTGCTCATGCAGATTCGCTCCAAGTTATTAAGGTAAATTTTATTTAGATAAGTGAAATCTTAAAATTATAAACCATTTAGTACGAACAAATTGCAACGTTTCCGGTTTTGCTGGTCAGGCCATGGTGCTATTTGGAGCCGACGTAAACACCATAAACCATGAGGGAAAATCTGCAAGACATATTGTAGCTGAAAATCCAAAGCATGCCGAAAATGGGAGCAAACTTTTTCGTAGCTTGGGAGCAAAAAGGTTTAAAGATAAACCATGAAATAGCCTTGTTTTATTAAATATAGTGACAACGGAGAGGTGGTTATGGTTATCGCCGCATTTTACCGGACATAAATTACTCATATTCAGAAGTAAGCGGACAAATTCATTTAGTTTTATAAAAAAAATTTCTCAAAATGCTGGAAATTGTCAAATTTTAACCAGATTGAAAAAATTAGACACAATTTTTGCTCACAATTACTTCCCTGGAATTATAGACATTCATTTTTAGACAGCTTTTAATTTTTAAACAATTAATGCTTATGTATTATTAAAACTTTAGACTAGCAAATTCAAGTTACAAATTTTTTAAATTGAATTTTTGTAATTTGGGGGAAGTAATTCTGAACACAAATTATGTTTATTTATGAAATCTGATCAAAATTTGAAAATGTGCAGCATCTTGAAAAACACAGCTTTTGGCAGGAAATTGGTTTAAAATTTTCCTCCACAGGCGAATATATGTACACGCATTCTGGAAAAAGCAAAATATAGTGGGCTAATTTCTTACTGTGAACGATTTAAAATTAGTCCGACCAAAATCGGAGATAACCACCTTACAAATCTCCATTGTTAGATATGTGAATTCTTCACAGAATTATTTTACAGTTGCCCCGAAAACAGTGAATTCCTCTGCTCACACAATTGTGATGGGAGCAAACGGACAGAAAATGAGCTGAAACTGAATTATAAAGAAGGCCGTGAATTTTCCAAAACTGGAAATTATTTGTAATTAACCATTTCATTGATTAATTTATAATTGAATATATTTCCATAATCATGCTTCTATAAAGATACATTTTTCTCAGTCCATCGACTAATCCGAAATCTTTATGTGTGCTAAGTTTGGATGGTGGTGGAATTCGTGGACTAGTGCTGACTCAAATGCTTTTATTTCTCGAACAGGTCAGATTTTAATATTTGCAAACTAATATATACTAACTGTTACCACTCTGACAATGCAAGTCTTTTACGTGTACAACTCAGATCTGGTCGGGACCAATTTTATTTTGTTCACCACAAAAAATAAGCATACCCGTATTTTTTCATTTTTCATAATGCGCCAATTTGAGCGCGTGGCGCGAATTTTAAAACATTTTTCAGCCAAAACCCCGCTTTTTAAAAATTCTGTAAATTTTCGAATTTTAGCGCGAATCCAAAAATTCGAAAACATGTCTCTTCAGAATGACTTACCTGACTTATGAAAAATCCAATTGTCTCGAAATTCGAATTTCAAAATTTTTTGCCAGTTTTTGAAATTCATTACAATTATAAACTCTTTCAAATTATAAATTTTTCGAAAAATAATGCATGTGGATTTTTTATAAGTCAAGTAGATCATTCTGAAGAGACATATTTTCGAATTTTTGGATTCGCGCTAAAATTCGAAAATTTACAGAATTTTTAAAAAGCGAGGTTTTGGCTGAAAAATGTTTTAAAATTCGCGCCACGCGCTCAAATTAGCGCATTATGAAAAATGGAAGAATACGGGTATGCTTATTTTTTGTGGTGAACAAAATAAAATTGGTCCCAACCAGATCTGAATTGTACACGTAAAAGACTTGTATTGTGAGTATCATAAATTTAAAGAAAATGCATTAATTCGGGGACGTTATAATACATAATTTTGTATAGTGCGGAGGGGGGGGGGGGTTAAGTGGTCTTAATAAAACTCGGAAAAAACTAAACAAAAAATTAGAAATTCCAAAATGTCCTCTTAAAAATGAGACAGAGCAGGTTTTACGCCGCGAAAATAAAATGTTAAAAATTAGTCGCTTTTTAGTCCCTCAATCCCTTTTTTAGTGTTACTTGATGTAAACCAGTCATTAAATTGTACTAATCTAGGAATAACATGCGAATAAATGACTACCAACCAAACAACCAATGACCTTCCAGGCAAGATATTTATCTTCCCGTTGAACAATAACCACAATGTTTTAGGTCTACTTCAGTCCTCCCGCAGAATTATACAACTTCCTATTAAACGACCATTCTTGTCGTTAAATACTCATCAACCTAACTTACGAATGAAACTCAACATTTTTATTCTAGTATACTGGCATAGAAACAAGCGATATTTTCCAATTCTACGCTGGAACAAGTACCGGCGGCATCCTGGCGTTGGGTTTAACCACTGGCAGATCCGTGTTGGAATGTCAAGGGCTATATTTCCAGTTGAAGGATCAAGTTTTTACAGGCGGAAAGCCATACGAAGTCAGTAAATTGGAAACGCTGTACAAAAATGTTTTTGGACATGATAAAAGACTCGGGGATATTAGAGCCTCAAAGTAAGTTGTTTCTGTCGTAAATTTGTTCTTAAGAAACCGAAGACATGTACAGAGTGGTTCAATAAGGACGCTAAATTCCTACACTGGCGAATTTTTTAAATTAATGTTCCAGAATTTCCATTATTTACAAGAAATCACAAATTCCTCCGTAGTATTCCGAGGAAAAAATGCAAAATTCTCCAAATCAGAAGGTTTTGACCTTAATTTTCATGTTTACTGGGGTATTCTAAGGGTGAGGCAAAACGGAGATTTTCCTAATATTTAATGTCACAAAAGGACCTCCGGTGATACTTTGTCCCCAGTTATTTTCAAAATTGCATTTTTGAATAAAAGCCTCCATTTCGCCTTACCCTTATAAAGGTACATAACCATGAAAATTAAAGTCAAAACATTCTGGATACAAATTGTAGTAAAACTTTCAAAATATAGCATATAATATTTTCATTTCGACCTTGATTTTTTTGCACCTGTTGGAAATCATGGAAATGTTGCAGAAAAAATTCTCAATGTAGCGTCCCTTCTTAAACCACCCTGTACATTGACCTCGTATTTTTTTAGAGTAATGGTAACTGCCACCAGAGTGAGTTGTGGGATTCCAGATCTCCACATTTTTCGAAGCTATTCTCCGAATGGAGGTTCCAACTCGGATTTTATNNTGGAGCGCGGCCAAACTAACTGGAGCTGCGCCTTACTATTTCCGGATGGAGCACGCCGACTTGGTAGATGGAGGACTACTTGCTAATAATCCAAGCCTTGACGCACTCTCGGAACTAAGCAAGATTCGGAAAAGTTCTTTGCATACAGAAATTTGGGGAAAGGTGAGTGAAATTGATAAAGCAAGGAATTGAAGAAAGTCACAATTTTGTTAAATAACCTAAGACTACAAAATTTATACAATTCAATTCAAAATTCGCAGTACCAATATGCAATAATATATAGACAATGACGATTCTTGACATGTGATGCCTCGGAGGTCATTATTTTGACCTCCGAGGTCAAAGTAAACGGTCACCATTGAAATCTTTCATAAATATTTCCTGCACAATCCGCGCAAACATGTGACTTAACTTTTTTTATGATGTTTGCCCTTTAAGAGGCAAGTGACCAATTGACCCCAAAATCACTAGCGGTCCTTTAATGACATAAACTTTCGTTTAGATTTTAAAGTTCTTCCGAGGAGCCGTTTTTTAGATAGCTTGCTAACAATCAGACAGACATACTAACTTATCGATAACTTCAAATAACTTGTTACATATTTAAAAGCAATTGTACGTATCAAAATGAATCTAACGTGTTTGGTTTTAAATTAGAATCCAAAGATGTTTGTCTCGTTAGGAACAGGATTTAAGGCAGATGTCGACTATACGGCAGCATATCTAAATTTGTCCTCTAAATCCATCGCATCCTCAACAAAGTCACTATCAACCTTAACAAACACGATAAAGTTCTTTATGGAGCTGGTAAAGAATAATTTTTAAGTCTGGTAGAAATATCGACGGATAAAGATAATCATCTTATACATAATCTTGTAGACAACTGGCGTCCAATGGGCCCTTAATTTCGAGAGCTAAATCTTTGGTGTGATGACCTTGGAACGGAATACTTCCGGTTTAACCCTCCTCTATTACGAGAATATGAAATAGATGAAGTGGATGATTCTCTTTTAGTGGATCTTTTATTTGAGACACGAATATATATGATTGGTCAACAGAAAGAGATTGAAAGATTGTATAATTTGGTGCTTAATTAAATTTATAATTACAGTTTTAAAATTTGCATAAAGTACATATAAAAATTGCCATATATGTATTAATTAGCATGTTTAATAAGTAAAATAATTAACTAAAGCAATAATACAGAGCATGTGGCACTTATTTTCGAATTTTTATGAATAACGCGTAGAGGAAACCCGTTTGAAGTAAAAATACCCAGTTTTCCGTATATGTATGATAAATAAGCGGATTAATTTCGTCAGTGATTTGTTCTTACTAAAACTACAGATAAATACGACCCCCAGGCTCGAAGGGAGTTGACGTACGCGTAAAAAGTTTTCCACCCAAAGTTGCACTGGAAATGTGATAAATTTGTAATTGGGAACTAACGTCATCCTTTTTCAATCTGGTACTGTTCATTCCCCATTTTGTAACCGATATGAAGTGGTTCTTGAGCGAGATGAGTCGTTTTCCCTTAGAGTTAATGTCCAGCTGATACGGTAAGGGTGGAGAATTGGGACGTGGTTCTGTTAGTATTTTTTACCTTAATTTACTTCAACATTTCCTACCTCTTTATTCATAAATAACTATTACGGCGGAATCAGCCGTAACTTTTCTATCTGATGTTGATCTCCTTTTCGACAAAATCCTGAGAAGTTACACGAAAAGCTCACTCCATCAAACCATTCGTGAATCTGAAGGATGGGCTCTTTTTGCCCCTTTTCGACTTTGTGGACTCTTCAATAGAAGATTTGGAATAAACTAAATATATACAGCCAATTTGTCTATTAAAATCCTCCTCCACGGGAAGGTTTACTCAGCAGTAAAGTGGATTCGTTCATTTTTTCCGCGTACCGCTTGTGACGAGCTTGTCGTTCCTTGACTCTTGTTTTTTTCATGGGGAGCTTCATCATATGACACGTACCGCCTTTTTATCGCCTTCAAACCGAGGTTCATTTTGAGTGCATCTCAGACTGATTTTGCCGAGACCTTCATTTTCATATGAAATTGTCGTTGGCTCCGGCGTCAATTACTTAGGATTCTGGCTTCGCGTGCTTTGAACATTGTCAGGTTCCTTATAAAATTTAGGGAATATTTCCTTTGACATTTCTTATAGAGCGAATGCCAGGGTATATCTTGACATACACTTGACCAACATAAAATAAACTTTGAATGGCTTTGATCACTTTATAATTTCAGTATTTTCATTTCCATTGCAAAAGTGAAAAATTTCAATGTTGCCGTATGTACTTGCCTAGATTGTACACTCTAGAATTGAAAAATTAAAAATTCGCCGATAAATCCAAGTCGCATGGGGGTTATGATGAATTTATCAGATTTCAATTTTGTCAAGTACTTTTCGAGTAATCAGCTGTTAGCACTTTAGTGTTGCACGATAGGTATGTACCTAATTACCACGGTGCCCCATTAGACGGAATTGTTCGCAAATATTGTCCAGTTTCTCAAAAAAGCACAGTGCCAACCTGTACGGCATGAAATGTATACATACATGAAGTTGACTTCTAAATCACCGGATTCGATAAGATTGGCACAACAAAAAACAATGATCCTTTCACATTTTCCTTGCTTCTTTGATGATGTTTATCTTCAAGTCGTATCTCCGTGGCATCCAAGAATGTTTGAGAATTTTCGTAACTAACCGTAACCAACAAGCCAGACCGTTCTTGCACTCGACAAGAAAACAAATTACCGCTGGAATTAATAAATAGGCACATACTCCAAAAACTGCGGTTAATATTTTCAACGAAACTGTATCCGCTTCGTGGAAAGTGGCAGAGTCTTTCGGGTTAACCAGAAGCTTATTAAATTGTGACTTTTAATTTATTAAGCGTTTAAATAGTTCCCGCATCCACTCTTGGTGTTCCAGCTTATTCTCAATTCCAGATGCCGAAAAGTAAGCGAACCATTTAGACAACATGGGATGGAAACAGTTCTTAAAGCCAAGCGTCAACCAAACCATGACAAATGGAGTGTCCTCCTTACTGTCTATTATTAAACGTTTTCCATTCAATCTTAGCCATGTCTGTACAGGTCGAATATCCGTATTAGAATCCATAATAGCGAACGTGTGGGCAGTATCGAATCCAAGTTTCGACAATTTTCGGGACTCCGAAATACTTCGAACAAACTCGTGTAGTTTGACCCCCAATTTCCATCTGCAACAAAAACCAGCTTTTTGTCCTGGTATGAATGAAATTATTGAGCTGGGGTTTGCTATCTAAATATTTGAGCAAGTTAGGTATAAACACATCCGACAGGGTGGACCTTTTTTCCTTACTATCGCCGACGTAATTAGTACCTGTCGTCATTATTTGCAGATCAGAGTTGACAAGTTCATCAAACTTTCCGGAACTCGGGATGCTTTGGTGCGGATAGAATTGAGAAGATTGACCCCGTGTATAGGTTATCTGTGACCAGAAGACATCCACACAAGAGCCAAACGGCGACAATATACATTCCTGAGCTCTTGCGTGTGAATTTTGTTAACCAGTCCCCACCTGTCTGACGAAGAAGGTAAGCGTAAACACTTATAAAATTTCGCGTACCTTGTATCAAAATTTCTAGGGAAGTCGTTGTGTTCTGATTAAGCGAAATTATGATTGAAATTAAGGCACCAAAAACACATTAGACCCCACCACACTTCACTTTCAAACGGGATAAGCAGTGCGCCCATATCCTTGAATGGGGCTGCGTATTGTGTTACGACTATAAATTTTATCGCGTGAACCGTCAGCGAATACAGGATACTCTTACTCTGTAGGATCGTTGCCAACGTGCTAGCAGATAGTATGAGGTTGCAGTCATATTGGAAATTCCATATGCTGAGGCAAGCTTATCATATGGCATGTACGTAATCGTAAAGTTGAAATGGAGTGAAAAGGCATTTTAATTCGCAGAGTTTGGCATCCGTCAGCTTTCTTGCCCAAGTCGAGTCAATCTCACAGTGGATTCCTTCTGGATCAAGTTAGTAGGGCGTCAACATTTTACCGCGCATTAGGTTTTTATTGGTGGTTAACCACTCCTTGTCCATGGATTTGATGGAAATTAGTAGTACTTTGCGCAATAAGGCGGTATCGCACGATATACATGGAACAAATAGGTAGTCGGGGAACTTCCCAGCCAACAATTCTTTGTGTTTTCTGGATCAATTCGGCCACAATTTTCGACCTATTCGGGACCGATTTCTTGACGATTCGTACAGAAATCCCAAAGAAATGTGGGAAATGTCCCGCAGAATCGTACAGAATTCTTGACGATTCGTCACGACTTTTTATGCCGAACTCTGTACGAATTCTGTACGAATTCTTTCCGATTCTTTCTCGACTTCGTGACGATTTCTGATGGAAATCCTAACGAATTTTGTACGAATTCTGCCCCGAAATCACTACGATTTACATTTAAATAAAAAATTAGATAGACCAGTTGCCCTTTTAAATAATTTTATTACTTTTGTGATCATAACAAAAAATAAACTAATTATTTGTAAATTAATTCTGTGATGATGGCGAGGGCAGGTTGTTGGTGACTGGCTGTTTCCTGTGAAATTAAAAGAGGTTATAAATATTTTGCACCATATATTGATAATAGCAAAAATTTCTCACTTATTTCTTTTATACACACGATCGCCGGCCTTAGTCAACTCCCTCGAGATTCCGTCATCAATTTTTGAGTGGTCAGGTGTCAAAGGGCTCATCAGAATTGCCGCACCGCCTAATAATTAAAAAATAGTAATAAATTCAAGGGAAGAAACCCTAATTATATGATTCACCCTACTTATTCATACTTACTGTGTAGGACATATTTTATATCCGCTAGCGTAGATAACGAAAGCTTTTTCTGCATTCCTTTTAGACTATATTTGGACAATAAATCGTCGGTCATCAATTTTTTCATCATCTTGCTAATGACATCAACTTCCTCGTATCCTCTCACTCCTCCAGAGACGATGGTGATCTGAATACCCCAAAGAACAATTACCACAAGCAAAACGAGATAAAAACGGATAAAACTTGCTACAACATTTTACAAAATGAAATACTTACCAGGTCACCTTTTGCTACGTCAGACGACTTTACCATGTCATTTAGCTTTTCCAATTCGACAGTATTTGTAATAGGAAACGTAAATTTCTGTAGTTCCATTGAAATCCGTGTATTTGAGGCAGAGCGACCTTTCCCTCCATCGAGAATTGTGTGCAGAATTTCACCTTGTTCTGCCAATGCAAGTTGAATTCCCTTGACCATCTGCAGCACTGTAATTAAAATAACCGAAGGTTTATTTAGATATTCTTTGGATAGTAGAAATAGTACAAAATTTTTAAAAAAAGCTCACATTGAGTAATTTCGCAGGGATCCGTCTGAACCTCCTTCTCATTGGTGTCAATCGCTGGAGAGACGAAATACACCACGTCTTGATCTTGTGTGACAGAAGACGCCTCTCTTGACAAGTTCTCGTTCTCTTCTAGAATAACGTTGGCGTCGCTAGGAATAACGCTTCCAGACTCATCAATTTCGGGTGGCGTGGGAAGAGAAACCTGTCGTTTTGATTTCGATGCCGACGTGGCGCTTCTTTGTTCTTCAAAATCCGAAGTATAGGTTGCTGCTTTCAAATTCTGCCGAGCTTCGTTGTAGCTTCCTGAAAAATTGGACAAAAATTCAATGGTTTATAAAATTATGAATGTAGTTTGGAATGTGAAATGGAATGTAAGGCAAATGACATGTGAGCTTACCGTACGCATTTCCGACGATCAGAGCTTTGCATTTTACCCACGTCTCGAAATTCGGTTCGGCATAATTTTTAACAAGTTTATTTACATTATTCGGTGGGGGTGGCCAATAACAGACTTCTCCAACCATCCACGGCTTGGCAACAACGGCAACAGCATCATTCTCTTCAGGAAATTTCACAATTTGGAATTCCATTATTTAACTACAATGTAAAAGGGAACACAACAGTTTTTAAATTGGATTCGTTTAAAACAACACACTTGTAATTAATCTCGGAGATAGGGATTTGTATTTCACTTGACAATTTTGACAAATCTACATTAATTGTTTAGATAAGTGAAGAATCACAAGGGTAGGTAAACGCACTTTCAAAGCCACACAATTTTCGACAGACTACCGTCACCTCTCCGGTTTTTTCTAAGAACTTTTGCGCGACTGCAAATTGTCGGTTAGCGAAACAAAATGTACCGTTATGAACATAAGTTTTTATATTTCACAGCACTATAACTTCCGTCAGATTGGATTTCTGACAGTACTGGAACTTCTACTTTGTTCACAAAAGGCCCCTGCACTACAGAATCTTTTTCAATTAACCGCCTGTGAACTTGAGCCAAAGAACCAGATGATTTTCGAATTAATCTCTTAATTTCACCAAGTTTATTTTCATACTTGAAGGCACTAAATGTGTCTAATCCACCAAGTCGACGGACATCTGTTGCCAAATGTATTAGTCCATGAATGTTGTACGAAATATTCACTTTTCCATACAATATTTTAAATTGGCTAACAAAATAATGTAATAGAGAATCAGCATAAGTAATAAGTTGCTCTTTTTGTTTTGGTGAAGCCAAAATTCGGATTGCAAAGTTGAGACACAAAAATAATTGGTAATGTTGTTCTGGTAAATGTTTCTTCAAAGCCAAGGGATCCGTATAAAGAAGAAATGTACGTAATTCAGTTGCTTTCCACCTGTCAATTTCTGAAAGTGGTCTTTGTTTCCGGGTGAACTCTACAGGTAAACACTTGCCAACTTTTACGAGTTTTTTTGATATTTTTAAAATCACTTTCGGCCCTAGACGAAATACTTTAACTTTTCCACTTGTCCACAGTTTTACCAACTTTTTTGTAACTCCTAAGCAAATCAAATGCATGTATTCATAGGGAAAACTTTCTACCATGTCGAGGGGAAGCTTTTCTAAGTCACTAATTCCATTATGATGTTTTTCTTGCACCCGTCCTCTAAAAGTGTCATTTGTTCTTAATTCGGCATCCGTTTTTAACCTAACCACCCGGTTGTCAATATATTTACCCTTAACTATGCACTTTCCACAACCATAATAACCGGTATGATTTTTAATGCTTGTAATAAACGCACGAGCAGGGGCGTCACAAATAAATGCTTCTATTTGAAAATTGATTTTATGGCTATTGTAAATAATTCCATTACTAATTAGTTCGAGAGATTCTTCCACAAAATCGCGAAGATAATTATTCAAGTCGTTTGGCTTGCTGCAACCTTCGTAAATTCCAATTACAAACACATCACTAACGTTTTTCACACTTCCAAGAATGGGCCAAAGCTGTTTATTTGTACTTTTGTGAATGGGAATGCCGTCAATATTAATGTGAACAACAACTGTCTCGGGGCATGAATTTGATTTGTTTAAAACTTTTATAATTCCGGCTGCAAGTCCTAAATGGCAGTATTGTCCAGGCTCAACTTGTCGAATAACGGTAGTAGTGGGCGTTTGAAGTAATGTTCTTGCTTCTGATGGCAAGTCTGAGAAACATTGATGAGTTTTTAATATTTCAAGGAGGTCGGAAATAGCTGAGTGAGTCACGTTATGTCCAGTTCCCCATTTCTGAAGTTTTATTCTAAGGTCAATGCTGTCCTCCAATAAATCTATGCAGTCACTATCAGAACTGTTGCTTTCGTCAATTAAAGGTGAAAATTCCCCAATGTCAAACTTTTCTAAGTAATTATTTTGCGCTGGCACATAATTTAGTAAATCACTATCTGCAGTACTTATAATTTCACTTACTGATTCGAGTTGTAGTTTGTGATTATGAGGTGTAGATTCGTGTTGTTCTTTGCTTCTTACGTCGTTGGTTATCACAGGTTGTTGTTGGAGGGAGGATTTATTATTCAGATAACTTTCCAAATTAATGTTGTTCTTTAAAATCCTCCGTTTTTGTCTGAGGGAGAGCAGTAATAAATTGCGTGGGCTCATGGCCACTTCCAAGAACAAACTGCCGCCTTAGCTAGAATTGCTTAAGAATTCGTACAATACAATTGAGATTACCGAAATCTCCAAGAAATCGTGGCGAATTCGGGCTATCCTTCTGTCTAAATTCGATCAAGATTTTCCTTTGAGAATTCGGAGTGAAATCACAAAGAAATCGTACCGAATTTTAGTCATCTTTCGGCCTAAATTCGTTGAAGATTTTTCGGTGCGAATTCGTAGTGAAATCGCATCGAATTCTTCAAGAATTCTGACAGCTTTCGAGCTCGGTGTAATTTCGACCTGTTCGTACAGAATTCTTTCAAAGAATTTTGGCCGAATTGTTGGCTGGGTTGAGGTTGAATAGAAACAGCTTTGTTGTGCCTACATTGTGATAAGGGAAGAATCTAAAATCCTGCGGGAGTAATGGATCAGAAGTATGCTGAAACATGTAGGCAGGATTCCACTTTTTAATTGCGATGAACCCCATCGTTTTAAGTATACCTTCGTCAATCCATTCCGTTCCAAAATGGTGATGAAGAAATAAGATTCCTGGTTTAAATATCTTCTCGGGGACGACACGCGTTTCTTCGCGTTTCTTCTTCGTAAATTTTGAAGACATAATTCATTTCAAATGATTTTTGCAGGAAATTTAAAACAAACAACTTGGATCACTAAAAAATATATCATTCTTGACACGTCATAAAACTTTTTGGCAAGCACGAATAAATTTACATCCTCTAACCTCTTCACTGATGCTGTAAATTTTTCGCAGATAAAAAGTTTACGAAAAGTTTCATATGTATGTACAGCACCAGGGCATAAATTTAAACCCACTCATATGCTGCGCGCCCCGATCGCTCAAGCTTATCAGTAGATTTTATTCTGCCATCGGGTTTAGGTGTATGTTGTACAGAATTTAACTGGCTTTCCAACGGTACTACATTTGGTTATGAAAAAGCTAACGGGTATGCGTAATTAATCATACTAGGAAAAAACACACAAAAATTAGTTGCAAAAGTTTAAACCCGCTTCTTATTAAAAATTACTTCATAACGAAGGGGGGTTAAGGCAAGGGTTTAGCAATTATTTACATTCATCCTAGGTACTCTACTTGCAGAAAAAGCTAAGAAATGGGAAAAAATCGGGAGTTGACCATTGTGATAACAAATTATTGTAAATCTCCGCGAGCGAGACCTAGGACACAAAAATTAGTGATATTACCAAATTTAACAAAAGTTCAATTAAAACAATGATTAGGAAATAGAAAAATATAGCTACTGTACTGAGTAATCCTAAATCGGGACGCCCAACAGTCAAATCTAAGCGAACAGACTGAAATATTGTTCCAAAGGCAATCCAAAATCGTGGGATGGCACTAAAAAATTTGACCTCCGACAGCAAGGGGCATTGTGAGATCCAAATTAGCCCATTAATTGTGAAGGGGAGACCCAATGGACAAAATCTCAGGCGATGATGAGCTCGAAAAAAAAATGTGCCTACCTGTGAAAAGCTTAACCCGAAGCCTGAAATGGGCCAATGAGCATTCTGAAATGTCTTGAACCTGGAAAATGAATGTATTGCACGTTGCGTACAAGTCATTGCTGTTTAAGACCTTACCCAGGTCTCCCCCGAACAAAATTCACCCCTTTATTCACCAAAATACCAAGTTTTATTTTTTCCGACCATGATACCTTGATCCAGTTTTGGGTGGTTTATCCAGAATGCTCATTAGCCCATTTCAGGCTTCGGGTTAAGCTTTTCACAGGTAGGCACATTTTTTTCGAACTCGTCGTCGCTTGGGACTTGGTCCATGGGGTCTCCTCTTTACAATTCATGCGCTAATTTGGATCTCACAATGACCCTTGCTGTCGGAGGTCAAATTTTGTAGTGCCATCCCACGATTTTGGATTTCCTTTGAAGCAATATTTAACTCAATTCGCTTAGATTTGACTGTTAACTGTCCCGATTTAGGCTTATTTGGTACAGTAGCTATATTGTTCTATTTCCTAATCATTGTTTTAATTGAATTTTTGTTAAATTTGGTAATAGCACTAATTTTTATGTGCCCCAGGTCTCGCTCGCGGAGATTTACAATAATTTGTTATCACAATGGTCAACTCCCGATTTTTTCCCATTTCTTAGCTTTTTCTGCAAGTAGAGTACCTAGGATGAATGTAAATAATTGCTAAACCCTTGCCTTAACCCCCCTTCGTTATGAAGTAATTTTTAATAAGAAGCGGGTTTAAACTTTTGCAACTAATTTTTGTGTGTTTTTTCCTAGTATGATTAATTACGCATACCCGTTAGCTTTTTCATAACCAAATGTAGTACCGTTGGAAAGCCAGTTAAATTCTGTACAACATACACCTAAACCCGATGGCAGAATAAAATCTACTGATAAGCTTGAGCGATCGGGGCGCGCAGCATATGAGTGGGTTTAAATTTATGCCCTGGTGCTGTAGGTATGTATGTATGAAAAGTTTCATATATTATATACAAATTAATTCATGAAATCCAAAATATTTATATAAAGTATTTTGATTCTTTGATTATTTGAAGTTCAGCAATTCTCTTTACGCTTTTGTTTTACCCATAATGAGTATGGTTTGCAACGAGCAAGGTTTGCATGTGTGTGGTTTGTACTGAGGAGGAGAGACCCTCTACATCTCATCTTCAGATCTGGATACCCTTTGCATGTGTTGCAGTACTCTATGAGTCTACTAAGGAGGAGAGACCCTCTACATGCCCCTCTCAGATCTCAACGCCCTTTGGATATTTGATAGCCCTAGGCGAATGTAGGATAACCCTAGCGTGATTTGATGCCATGGCCACATTTGCGCCTGCCACACCCCCTCAAAGATGTGAAAAACACTAAAAATGCCCTGTTTTCATGGTGCTTAACTTTTACCAAAAATCCAATTTAGGTCGGATTTTGATAAAATTTGCATTTCTGTGATCCCAGATACTTGTGTGATCATATCCAGTAGCAAGCTCAACATTTTTTAAATTTTCAAAATTTTCGGACATTCCACTGCTAATGAATTATTCAAAAAAATTCAAAATTTCAAAAAAGTGGAAAATGCTGCTGGATATGATCACACAAGTATCTAGGATCACAAAAATGTAAATTTTACCAAAATCCGACCAAAATTGGATTTTTGGCGGATTTTTAAAGTTGCCAATTTTTATGGTTTTCAAGCCTTTGAGGGGGTGTGGCGGGCGCAAATGTGGCCATGGCATCAAACCACTTTAGGGTTATCATACATTCGCCTGGGGCTACTACATATGCAAAAGGCATCAAGATCTGAGAGGGGCATGTAGAGGGGCTCTCCTCCGAAGACCCTGAAGTGGTTTGATGCAATGACCCCATTTGCTCCCGCCACACCCCCTAAAAGGTGTAAAAAATACGATAAAAGCCCTGTTTTCACGTACTTCAACTGTCACCAAAAATCTAATTTTGCTCGGATTTTCATAAAATTTACATTTTTCTGATCCCAGATACTTGCGTGATCATATCCAGTAGATACTCAACCTTTTAAAATTTCCAAAATTTTAGGATATTCGACTGTTCATGAATTATTCGAAAATTTAAAGAATTTAAGAAAAAAGTTGAAACTGCTACTAGATATGATCACACAAGGATCTGGGATGACAAAAATGTAAACTTTAATAAAGTTCGAGCAAAATTGGATTTTTTGTGACAGTTTGCAATGCAAGATTTATTGTTTTCCTACAATTCAAATTTTAGAGATGTTAAGTTTTGAAGTTGTGGTTTCGGATTCACCCAAACCAAAATTTTCCCGTGTCCACCATTCTTCCCATTTCCAACCAACATATTTTAGGTGGGTGGTAAAATTGGCTTTCTTTCCAATATTTCCCACTGCCCTGGTGAATTTGTTTTTTACCAATCGAACCCCTGTTAGCAGAAAGGGGGCAAGAAATATGTAAGGACGTTACTTCAAACTTCAATTTGAATGTCAGAATGTAATAAGAAGAAATCTGTTGAAACCGCAGCTGCGTCGATATTGGAATTAAATGTGAAATCCCATGGAAATTTACATATATGGATTATGTATTACAGGTCACTATTTGCATATGTATAAAATCACTTGAACTGTACTGTAAATAAATGAAATGTACGTATCTCAGTGTGGCTTAAACAGTTATAAATATGTATACCTACATATGCTCAAATATTTCCCTAAGTCAGATACATATTATGAATAGTTCATTTTCCGATTTTTATTACCAGCGTGCATTACCAGGAGGGCACCAGAGTTTGTAAGCGCATATTACTCGATACTTGCATAGTTCGTATTACCCTGTGCTTGTTACCAACATAGTAAAGATTATGTGTGTTGCTGCAATGCGGTAGTAAATAAATTAAAGGCAAGTCACGTATTAATTAATTATTGCTTAGAAGAACTAATTAATTCCTACAGGAATTAGTAGCTAAAGCAAGGCCCAAGAACGTTTGAAGGTATTTAGGTGGGCATTTCGAAATGGCCGTGGTATATTATTTACGTATGCTTAAATTTCTAAAAGGTAATAGAGTTTGAAATATTTGGAATTATTAGTAAAGTAGAAAATGTATGTATGTACACTGTAGATAATCTGGTAGTAAACATTACGGAAAAGCACAAGTATATGATTCTACCAAAGTGGTAATGATAAGTTGTACCGTGTGGTAATTACTTTGTAATAAAGTTTTACCATGATAGTAGCGAATTTTTACGACATGGTAAAATATTGCTACCAAATTTATTATCGAGAAATCATTACCTGCCTGACTTTACTGGATTATTAAGAGTGTAATTAAATATATTGCTGGATTCTGTATGTATTTGCCAACTTCCTAGCATTCCGACGCAGCTTGCAAAGACCAGTGCGAATCATTTCGCATCTTGTCTGATGATCTGGCAAAGTAATATATAGCTTGCTACCAAATCTTCTTTCAACGGCAGAGTCTATTATCCATGGCAGATTGGTCGCTCCAATCCAAATTAATCCCGTGTTGTCCACATCTACCCCTTCCGTTTGAGTGAGGAATCCTGCCATTATTTCAGCGCTGTTTGAACCCCCCTCTTCTGTCCTGGTTTTAAACAAACTTTCCATTTCATCGAAAAACAGGATACAGGGTTGATTTTCTCTGGCGACCTCAAAGATAGCTTGCAACTTTTGCCCAGCCACTCCAACCCACTTGCTCACGATATCCGAGCTTGTGATGGAGAGGAAATGAAATCCCAACTAGTTGGCCATGGCTTTTCCAAACGTTGTCTTTCCTGGTAAGGTCAAAAAGAAAATATGTACATATGAGACTTACCTATTTGTAATAATGTGTAATATATTTAGTATGGAATAAAATAATATTCACTATTTATTGAATAATTGTATGAATATACGTACGTATAATTGATAATTATACGTATTGATTAATATTGATAATTACACGCACAATACTTTTCATTTATATGCATTCACTGACCAGTTCCTGGGGCCCCGAAAAACAGAATGTTGCGGTCCATCGTTTTCGATAGAGGAAAAAGGTCTGGGTATTTTATCGGTCGCACTAGTTTCGTACCTATAATTTTTTTTACTCCTTCTTGTCCAACGATATCATCCCATTTAACACCGTTTTGCATGGAATGTGGTGGCAATATTTTTTTCCGAAATTCTTTCTTTAAATTCTCAGTACCATCTTTGTCTTCGCAAGGCTGCTTATTAGCCGGGGTCATGTCCGCAGGACTCCCTTTGCGAGATGGATCATCCTTCGTTATATTCATCTTCTGAAGTTGAGCAGTTATGACACTAAGTTCGTCGAATAAGGGCTGCATTTCAGCATCAATTGCTTCCTTTAAATTAGGATGCTCTTGCAAGACTAAAGACAAAATAAATTTAAAACTACTACTTCATTGCAGTATAAATAATATTAACTTACAACTGTGCACATATCCTCCCGCTTCGTTTAAATAAAAATACTTCCACAGCAGATTTATATTATCTCCTGTGGTACTTGTGTCGGCAGCCATATTACAATAATTTAAAGCTTCTCCAACAAAATAGTCGTCTTTGAATTGTTCCATTTTAAAACTCGAGAAATAACTCGGCATAACTTTCCTTAGCAAAGCGAGAGAAGGATGTGTGGATTATGGGATGAAATACTCATTCACTAGTTTGCATGCACTAATCATGGGACGGTTATGTATGTATTTAATTCCTGTAAAAAAATGTGGGTAAGTAATGTACGCATAAACATTCTTCCATTGAAATTTCTTATTACATAAATTTATTTTATTTCCTAGCATATTCAAAATTCAATAATATTGAAAGCGAATTTTGAATGTCATCATTATACTCCAGTTTTCATTCAATAGCTGGTAATTTTCAGAAAACCAAAGTTTTAAATTAAAAAAAGTATTTTGATTGAATACATTATAATTTTAAAATATTCAAAGCTCTTTAAACTTGTGAAATAATTCTTACTTATATAGGGAATATTAGTATACAAGCTTTAGTACGATCTGAATAAAAATACATATATATCCGCCGTCTGGTTGAAGTATATCTCACTCAAGGATGAGGATCGCGATATGATACGACACATGATGGGTTGACGTGGATAAGATTGTGTGAAACTAATCTTGTAATGTGATGCTTTCCCCTCTTTATACAGTTTAATGCACATACATATGTACGTATTTATATCTGGTTGTATTTCTGCTTCATATGCAATGACTCGCTCAACCATCATACGGCTTGTTTAGCTAGTATACTTAACACCAAGGGTTAAGTAAAATAATATAAAATTCCCCAAAATCTAAACATCTTCTTCCAATTTTTGTACAGAAAAGGGCAGAAATAACCCAGTCCTTATCCATTCACATCTGCGGAATGGAAATATCTGGAGGAGGGTTCCATAACGAAGTCGGGGATTATTCATGCATATATGCATATTTAGATTATGGGATGTAATACTCATTCACTACTTTGCATGCAAATAGTACTTTTCTTCAATGCTAGTAGAGATATAGGACGCGGATTTCTGTAAGATTTGCCCATTAAACTAATCTTGTAATTTGATGCTTTCTCCTTCTTTGTACGCCACATATTATGCATACATACATACGCTCAGCTCTGCTATTTCATAAGTCATATTTCTGCATCATATTCAATGACTCGTTGATTACATATCATCATTCGTCTTGTTTAACTGATCCATGATCAAGTCAAGATCAAGTTAAATAAAATATTATTCCACAAAATCTCTACAACTTTCTGCTAATTTCATCGCCTGCAAAAATGCAGAAAAAACAACAAAGTCCTTATCTATCCAAAAGATTTGAAAAATGTGGGGAGGAGAACTGCGGAATGGAAGTTCGGCACGATAAACCACATGAACACGCAGCTGCTCGTGGACACCTATGTAAACCTCAGGGACAACGGACAATAAACACAATGTTTATAAACGAGGTAAATTATTTTTTTCATTTCCTTTATTCAAAATTTTATTTCCTGGGAAATTTAGGGAAATAGAATTTTCATGACGTGTTGTGACATTTTTCTTATTATTTTGGTCAGGCTGCTGCTTCTCAGCGTGCAAAAGAAAAAAAACAACTCTTAGAAAAGCAGGAACAAGATGCAAAGAAAAAATTAGCAGAGGAGAAAAAGCAGGAAGAAGAGAAAGCTCGACTGGCAGAGGAAAAAAGCAGGAAGAAGAGAAAGCTCGACTGGCTGCGGAGGTAAAGCATGATGAAGAGGAAGCTCGATTGGTGGCGGAGAAAAGGCAGGAAGAAGAGAAAGCTCGACTGGCTGCGGAGAAGAGGCAGGAAGAAGAGAAAGCTCGACTGGCGGCCGAGAAAAGGCAGGAGGAAGAGAAAGCTCGACTCGCGGCGGAGAAAAAGGAAGAAGAAGAGAAAGCTCGAGTGGCGGCGGAGAAAAAGCAGGAAGAAGAGAAAGCTCGACTGGCTGCGGAGAAGAGGCAGGAGGAAGAGAAAGCTCGACTCGCGGCGGAGAAAAAGGAAGAAGAAAAGCTCGAGTGGCGGCGGAGAAAAAGCAGGAAGAAGAGAAAGCTCGAGTTGGAGAAGAAGCGAGTTCCACGGTAAAGCGTCGTATTTTCTGTGCTAATACGTAATATGTAGCTAGTTAGATATTCGCCACCTTTAATGATTGTTTTGCAGGCCCAGATGCGACCGTCAAGCTCTACCTCTGGCGGCGAAAGTATTACGCCTTCTCATCGTGATAAGAGAAGTAGGGAGATGATGGATCACCCTACAGACCTCACTCCACCAACTTCAGTAATCGAGAAAAATTATGAGGGACACGATGGAGCTATGTCATACGATAATGAACAACGAAGGACCCATACATCTCCACGGTCACCACCAAGAAAGAAACAGGCTGTTGGAGAAGAAGACGATGCTTTAAATAAAGCATATATGGATAGCAAATTTCAGCAGCTCAAACAGCACTTTGAAGAACTTATCAAGGAAAACCGCCATGAAAGTGCTCCAGGGCCTGGACGAAAGGTAGCAGGGACGCAAACGAAATCAAGCGATACCGTCTCGAAAGTTACTGAGACGACGGAGTGGAGACAAGCTGCTGAAAAGTACGAAGATGACAAAAAGCTGGCTAAGTATGCCAGGAGCCAGGAAGAATTATGCAACCATCTTCCTCACATCAAATCGCAATATGCGAGTGAGACAGCCAAGGACATGAACGAACCCGACGGCTTATATTGTTCCACTTGTCTCCCAGATCCAAAAGATGACATCGCTGTTGCGGGGCAAACCTCAGCCCCAAGCCGATTTACGTTAGGAAAAAAAGGGGAAATGAAATGACCAACTTTAAGAAAGGGGAAAAAATATCAAAAGAATTCTCAAACTTGAAAGGGAGAATTCTCGCACACGAAGAATCCTCATCCCATAAATCAAATCATGCAAAACAAATGGAGAGTAAATATGAAGACTTCGTTCCGGCCACTGCAGAAGAAAGGAGGGCTTCCATGTGCTGTGCAAGGTCAGCATATCACGCAATAAGGTCACAGCAGAGTCAGGAGAGTTACGAAGAAGCCATTGCGAATAAAGCCGCAGATGGGATCAACGTAGGGGACCTAAATCACAGTGTGGCATTTGCGAGGAATTTCACTGCATCTCTGTATAAAGAAATTACCAATAAGTTGCGTGAGACAATGAATGAACCATTAGCAGCCACCGGGATCCCTCCTCCTCATATCTGTCGTATCTGATAAGGTTACATACTCCAGAAACACGTATTTAATTACCGGCGTCACACTCCCAATCCAAGGGAAAATGATAACTGCTGTCATTGACGCGAGTGTCGTCACTGACCACACTGGAGCAGGATTAGCAAAACAGCAAATGGATGGCTTAAAGGAATTTGTCAAGGAGGAGGACCTAAAAACCCGTCTGGTGGGAGGTAGTTATGATGGAGCTTTCCACCACGACAATGTCCCACGACACCTTAATTCGACAGTACACCAAGACATGCATGAAAAGAGAACAACTTTAGAAAAAGAGAAAGTTGAGGCCGAAATTATGGAGCAACGCCTCAAATTAGAAGAGCAACGTTTAAATGATATGAACGAAACTGAAATAAATGAATTGGAGCAGAAAAAACACCAAAACGCCCAACAACTTAGAAACATTACGTCAGCGCTGGACACAGCAAATGGAAAACTGGATGCGGTGGAGAAGTGGACTACTTTTACATGGGACCCGGCACACTTAGTCGAACTTGGTGATAAAGATATGAAGAAAAGAGAAGAGGGAAAGTTTCCAAAATCCGTGGAGAAAATAGTTACGGAGGTGCAGAAGGGCGTGAGATGCGGCAAATCGTATATGGAATTGTCTATTGAAATGCAAAATGAAAATAAAGAACCTCGCGCTATAAATGCGTTCAGCGACACCAGGTTCGCCTACGAAGGAAGGATTTTAAATAACTTCAACCATAATTTACCCGGACTGTACAATCATCTGAACAAAACTCGGAATCCTTTGGCAGATAGGATAAACAACACAGAGTTTGTTTCAAAGCTTACAATTACACAAGATGTTTACGAGAAGGTTGGGGAGATTTCCAAAACAATTCAGGATCCAAAGCTATTTCCCTAGCAAGTTGACGCCACAATGGAGAAAGGAATTAAAAATCTCAAACAGAAAGCCGCTGATTTGGAAAGTGGAAATACCGATGACTTTCCTAGCTACCATAAAGCAAAATTGGAAATTTTAGCCAAAAATGAGTACCAAGGGAAGCCGTTACTTGCAGCTCAGCACACCGCACACCCCACCAGACATGTATCATCCGAGCAAAGCGAAGAACCTCCTACTTTTGACCAAACTGCTACAAAAGTAGAGAAAGAGGGAGCGAAATTTGTGAAAGCTATGGCTGAATGCATCGAGCAAAGATACAGTAAAAACAAACCCCCCGTATTCGACGAATTAAAAGAAGTGTTTTCTCGAGAAACTATAATGCATCGCCCTGATGGATACATTCCTCCACAGCTTAAGTCTCATGCGGAGCTAGCGAAAGCAGCAGGATATTTAAGAGAAGATGTTACTCAGGAAGAACTAAATGAACAATATATCTATTTCATTGACAGAATGACTAATGAAGCCCCGCAGCATGATAAAGAAAATGGGTGGTACCATTCAGTGTTACACGATGAAGAAGTAAAAAATCATGCTGCGGATGTTGCTCATTTAGCTGCAGCAGCAATAGCTAGGACCTCGTCAGAAGCAGTTGTTGAGGGCATGGGGAGCGTGGCGAAGAAGCCTAAGGAGAATCGTGGGATGCTGAATCATGAGACATTTAAACAGGAGCTGTCAATACATTGGAATGGACCTCCAACGGGGACCCAGTGCAATAAATTGCTGGCAAATGCATTGGATAATCACTTCAAGGGCAAAGAGTGGCACTTTTTCAGGCGTTCCGACAGACAGGACAAGTTGAAATCTTTCCATGTGTCCAAGACGGTTGACAAGTTTAATAAAACTGATGGACGGCTAAAATGGTAATATTCAGGACGACGGATATGCATATATACATTTATAACTTTTCATATCACACCATATCGTGTGCACTAAAACCTGTCATTCATAAATTAAAATGCTCTAAAAATTACAAGTCATCGAATGAAAATTAAAATACTTATATACTCGTATGTATTTGCAATGTCTTGAAAATGCGGTAAATAAACAATTAAATAAATAAATGTTGTAGAGAATTTCAGGCTTTGGAAAATAATTAAATGTAAGATAATTTTAGATTTGCATATTTTTGAGATTTTTGAGTGCACATTACATAAGTACTTTGAGTGATTTAAGTCATTAATATCCGCCCATGATAATAATAACAAACATTATGTATATATTTATTACTCTTGCATTCTAGACCAGAAGGTACTTAAACTTCGTCATTAACTTGAAACAGTTGTTTTAAACAAAACCAAATCATTGTAAGCATTATAATTTTAAAAATATTTTTCCACACAAATTATTAGTTCATGAAATATTTCAGAAAGTAATATAAAAAGTAATTTAATTATTTCGTTGTGAAGTATGATTCACTCGACGCATCCAATCAATTTCCAGATGAAGGGAACGTCGGGAATCGGTTCGGGGATAAAGTCTCGGACTTTTTTCTCACTAGTTATGAATGTGAGGCTGCTTAAATTCCCCGAGCTGGGAAGTGTATAAATCTGGAAAGTGCTTTCTCCCCCGACTTCATTGGCTTTGAGTTCCAGTTTGTTTTTGTCAATCCCATCTAAGGTGTAAGTGGGAGGTCCCTGACAATAGAAGAAAAGCGACAAGTTCGAATTTTTATTTGTCATGGGGTATATATTCATAAAATATATTAAGATATATATTCATATAAATTTATCCTGATTTTTTAGACTTACATTTAATTGAAACCTTATGTCCACCCATGTTTTGGCCGGCAGTGCAATTTCTCCGAGGTCAATTAACATAGGTTCATTATACCACGCAACCACCTCATGTTGCTGAGGTGGCAGGTACGTGGCCAGGGTCGTGTTCTGACCCCGGTAGGTCTCCACCAATTCTATATTAATTTCGTACATGGCCTCTTCCCACGGCTCCAACTCGGGGCCGAAAAAGGAGAGAGATTTGAGGGCCAGATTTTCCGTGCCTTCGTACATCATTCTAGATATGAACAAATTTACAGATAAAGAATTTAATTTATTACACAATCAATTTATCAATCAATTAGTCCATAGTTATACTATCAACTAATTTATTATGTATTAAAAGTTTACCTGAAGGAATAAAACACCTCAGAATAATCGTTAGCTCGTAGCGATTTCTCGCCACGAGACACATGATAAATCCGTTGCATCACTGAAGTTAAAAGAAGCTTTTAGGAAAATCTAAAAGAAATGCCGTAAAAAATTAAATTGTATCACAAGTGGAGCTTGATACTATCGTGTGAGAGGAACTAGTCTGGAGTTGTGGTTGAGGAACAAGAAAATGGCGAAAGGGTGATGGAATGAGTCAGAAATCTTAGCAAGTACTCAGGAGAACACTCCACCTTGATAATGACATATTTGGTGGTGTCTTGTGTGAAATTAACAAATGTAAAACTGTTTGATACCGTGACCCAATTTGAGCTATCCACAATTGTTTGAAGGGGCGCCCAAAGCTTTATTTAATTTCGTTGACAATGGCTATTACCAAAATTCAATTTGTCGATTTTCGTTATGCTTAGAAATTTACTAAATATATCCTTTATCCTAAATAGCTGACATCAATACCGACTTTAGAAGCTTTGAATTTTTTCAAGCGAACGAAATATTCGAAAATATTTACAATTCTGAAGAGTTTATTTTTAGTTTGTAGATATTTACTTTGCTTTAATGATAGAGTAACTCTCGGAGACCACAACTATTTAAAATTTATAAAAATTTGACTTCGAGTGATAGTTTGGTCAGATAGACTTCGTTAAGGAATCCCTTCAAAGGGGTGTGGCATGCTCAGATTGGGCTGTGCCATCATATCGCTTCACGTTTTGGTATTTTTTCAGTAAGTACTACCAAACATCCAGTGGGCACTACGCTGTGTCATTATTAGGTTAGCGTGTTCTCCTCCCTAGCTCACTCAGGTTGGTGCTTTATCTAAGATGATGAAAATAATATGAATCCGTTATGCATACCCATAAGATCCGATGACGCAAATGTCATCGGATCTGATAGTGCACGGGCGTTCGCTATGAACATTCCAGTGTAAACATTCCTTGCAATTAGTTAGCGTAGCACTTGCATATCCCAAAGTTATATGTATTCCCCATTTCGAAAGCAAATAAGAATATCTACATGGAAATATTTTCCTGTATATAATTTACTTTGCATGAGAATACTTGCAAGGAAATCTTTCCCTCCATGCAAAGTTGCTTTGCATGGAAATATTTCCCTGCAAATATTTCCCTCCATGCAAAGTTGCTTTGCATGGAAATATTTGCAGGGAAATATTTCCCTGCATGCAAAGTTGTCGACTTTGCATGAAAATATTGCCCTGCATATAATTTACTTTGCATGAAAATACTTGCAGGGAAATATTTCCATCCATGCAAAGTTGCTTTGCATGGAAATATTTGCAGGGAAATATTTCCCTCCATGCAAAGTTGCTTTCCATGGAAATATTTGCAGGGAAATATTTCCCTCCATGCAAAGTTGCTTTGCATGGGAATATTTCCCTGCATATAATTTACTTCGCATGGAAATATTTGCCCCAGCAAATATTTTCTTGCATGCAAAGTATTGCAAAGTAACTTGACATATAATTTTTTGCAGTAACACATTTCCCCACATGCAAAATAAAATAATTTTAAGTGGAAACCATATCAATTCTATTCTCCACTTTAGATTGGAACAAAATTGACAAAAAAATTTATTTCGTTTTTATCTTTCTCATCCTCTTTTTTATTTTTTTATTTTATTTTTTTACTTTTATTGTTTAACTTTAATTTTCCCCACACTTCAGAAATTTCCCTCAAGCCAGGCTTCCCAGCTTGAAAGATTATAGACGTATGTTGAACGGACCCGAATTAGGAGCTGGGGACAAGACCATGGTCACGGATTGAGTGCGCATGAGCTGTAACAATTTGTGAATTTTAAGGAGGGTATCATTTACAATGGAAACTTTTTTCAAGCTACACCGGGATTTTCTAGCGAGCTATATCAAAAAATCAAGCCAAATATTAGGAATCACACAGAGCTTATCTTTCCGTTGAATGACCCCCTTGAAGAAAAATATTGGTGGCAAAGTTCAATTTTCGAGTTAATTTTCCCTCGTTTTTTCCTCCACGTAAACAAGGCATGCCCTTGCCCTCCCCCAATATTTTGTGTCAAAGGGCCATTGAACGGGTTAAAATATAAACATCACATGATTCCTAATTTTTGGCTTCATTTGAAAAGCTGTGCTTGGAACCCTGTATGAATTTTATGTTAAAAAATATGACTATTTTAGTCACTAATCCTCACAAAGTGGTTCGGTTCATAAAACCTTTTGTATGGGGTGTTTATTAAAAACACACATTTTTGCGGTCGACGAACACGCCATTCTTTCGAACCACTTAACGAAATATATTTATTTTTAGAGTACTAATCCTTTCCGATTCACCCGTCTACATACATATGTTTCACAATAAATGTTTGCTAATGCCATATCTGAAATTGGCCTGCTCGTGATTACTTTCTTAAGGCACATCAAAAACTGTCAAAAACTTTTTTGCCCTTTACTAATATGCAGAACTTGTGGCAAACTCCACGTTAAAAAAATTGGTGCATACATATATTTAATCACGCTAAGTGGATTACGTCGCGTAGAATTGAAGTCAACAAGTTTTCTAGACATGTAGCTCATGGATATTTGAAATAGTTCACATTTATTGAAATTTATCAAGATTTGTAAATTAATATATATGTATTCATTATGCAATTTTCGAAATTTGGGAACTAATATTTTAACAAATTCAAAATTTTTCATTGACATCGATTTTGTTACACATAAGCGGTGCACCAGGAAGTTTTGTACTGACTGTTATCAGTGAATCCATCTGATCCACCGGGACAGGGCAAACTCCTCGCACGGCACTGCCAAACACCATAACAATCTTTAACGCAACATTTCCCACTTCCTGAGCAGTCTGAATTCTTTTCACACTAATATAAATTAAATTCATGGTAGAAGTACAACCTAGGTATGCGTTTTACATACAAATTTATAAATACTAATTTGTATGTATGTAAATAATTACAAATATCCATTTATGTATGCTGTCAATAATATGATAGGCAAAGTAGACTAATATGATATGTAAAATTTGGTCGGATGCTTTCACATTTTCGTTGGACACAAAAATTAAACCCGTTGCCCATTGCATTATTGGCCAAATTATTAATTTTGGTTGGAATAAACCAAATTTTCGTTGGATGGTATAAAATTGACCCGAGGGTTTTTTTTTAATTTCGTCATTACTACATAGCCAGTGGGGTTCAATAAATTCAATTTCTGTTTGCAGTATAATTATCAACATTTCATTACCGCGTTATGAATAATTTTACAATTGCACATACGTTTTGTTGCTAGTTTTTTTATTTATTTTGCACTTGCATACATCTCTTAAACATATCTTAAACAAATTAAACAGTGGCTCCACTTACGTCTTTTTGAACCCCTGTTTGTCCATCTGTGAATGAAGTTTTTAGCATTGATTGATACTAATTAAAACGGAACACATCAAGTAAACTAGCTTTTTAGCACCGTTGTTTTCGAACAGTCCGTAATGCCAAAGGGTATGAAACAATTGGGGGAATCGGTGCACTAACGCACCAACGTGCAGAATCCCCGGATGAATTATATAGGTTACGAATTGATTGCAAATTTTGTAATGTTGTCAAAATTCTGCATAAATTGTGCCGAATTTACGGACTCCAAAATGGTAATTTTTTTGTTCAAAATTTGTAAGGCGCAAATCCTATCATATATATATATATTCTTGACCAGGGTGACCCAAGGAATGCGTCTAATTTTTTTTGTGAGGTCACACCCCCAGGGGGGCGAACCACCCCCCCCTGTGGGGGGAAGTTGAGACTGACCCCAGAATATTGTTAACCAACTATATTTGATGTTACCTGCCAAATTTCAGAATTTTCGCCCTCATGGTTCGGCTGGTTCATGTGTTTGAAGGTCATCAAACAGGCGTTCTGGGGCTGTTTCGACCACACCCCATGGCCTAACGGGCAGACATGGGCAAATGTATTTGAGGGGGTTTGACTCATCCCATCGAGTACTACATACGCCTATGAGGGCTTCTTGGAATCGGGTGGGATGCTCTAGATATCCCATCAGGAAGTTGTGACAGAAAAATTCGAATTTCAGGTAGTTAAAACAATACTAAGTTCGAATTTTATTGTTTATTTAAACACACCCCTCTAAAAAAATTATTACGAGCGGGGGGATTTTATGAAGTGGTGACCCCCTGAGGAGGCATAACTAAATTTATAATTTTGGTCCTATTTTCATTGTTAACTAAGTTAGGGGGCAGAAATACTTCATAAAATTATAGAATATTGTCATTTTATGAAAAAACATTCTCAAAATTATCGAAACAAAACTTTCAAATTTGCATTTTGACCACACCCCTGGCTGTGGGTGTGCCGATAATGTCCCAATAATGGTCGGAGTTGTTTAGAGCTTGATTAGACCTTTCAAATGACACCCCACTTGATGGGGTAATGCAAGAAAATAAATATTCACCTGTGACCACACCCCCAAAGGGGTGTGGCTTCAATGAGGGTTGCATAGCTTATACCCCTTGGAACTTCATATCTCGATCCCCGCAGGCAGAACTCGAAAAAAATAAATGGTTCGAGAGCTAGAGGTTTTGGCAAACAAATAAAGCAATCCGGACCAGTGTGAGTGGGACATGTCATATTCCGTTCCCTGCATTCATTATTGCTGTAGCATTGCGCCTGCGTCAGACAAATTTTACATATTTCATAATTACTTAATCTCGTTAAAATCTTTGAAATACAATCGAAATGAGGCAATTTAATTTTTTATTTATGAACGTGTAATATAGTATTAATTATTGATTCGAATTTCGAACTGTGTTCGGAACTTGTTACACGTCCATACACACATACACCAGGAATTTCTAATCGTGTGGAATCCACTATTAATTAAAACTCTAAAACATATGTATAGTATTCTATGTATATATTCGTATTAAAAAAGTCGATCCATACCTGTTCACCTTCATTCATTTTACTGGATATGATACTGAATGAAAATGAATTTCCTCTCATTTGTAATAAAATAACTGAAAGATTCAGTCATTTCAGATGAATATGAATAAAAGGATCACTCATTCCTTTAATTTTTCTATGTTAGCCATGGAGCGAAGTGGGAAATGAAATGAGTTTGAAAGAAAATGAATGAAGGTCATACACATAAATCGATGTGACTGATTTTTGAATGAATTTTTTTTGGAATATTTATACCTCAAGACACGCGCAGTAACTGGTATCGGGATCACTATAAGTGCACAACTCTTGTTTCGTTGAGTCGCAAACAATTCCTTCTATGTCGCAGTGTGCATCGGTCGTACACTGTTCAAGCAAAATAATTTGGTTATAATTGGATTACATAATTATAAAAAATAATTACATTATTTATTGACTTAATTAAATATACTATACATTTTGCAACAAATTATAGAAACGTGCTTAATTGTTTAATATTTTATTAGTACCAATAGTTCGTCATCTTCGCGGATCTCGATATCTAGTAGCGCCTTAACCGGGTGGAGGTCAGCAATAATCAGCCAGCCCAAAATTGTGGAGAGTTTAAACACCAAAAGCAATTTTCCAGATGGCATCCTGTAATTTTGAAACAAAATATATTATGGAAAACTAAGGGTTGAAGTAATTCCTAAAAAATTGTTGAATAAAAACACATTTTAGTACAATATTTATACTTATGTGGCTTTTTTATTCAGTAATTGTATATAAATGAATACGTATTTAATGTTGACGGGTTACAAATGGGGTTACGATTATTACCTATTACCAAAAAGTAAACGTATAAATGTGACTCTACCGCCCTGGTTATAAATTGGTCATCCAGAGGTGACATACAATTATAACCGGCTAATTATAAAGTTTCATCAACCTGGTATTAAATTGTCATCAAAGCTAATACATTCATAAGCACGGCGGTAGAGTAATAAATATACGTTTACTATTTTGGTTATAACAGTAACCGCATTTCTAAGGGTGTCCGTATTGCAGGTTTCTTGGTAATTATTTTTTATAAAAATCTAAAACAAGCCCTTAAGAGTTGAGTTCTTGAATTTTTAAACGTGCATTGTCACATATTAAATTAAGTGAAGTTGTAGTTAAATATCGTGAAAATTTTAAAACATCACTAACAAGTCTTTTACGTGTACAACTCAGATCTGGTTGGGACCAATTTTATTTTGTTCACCACAAAAAATAAGCACACCCGTATTTTTTCATTTTTCATAATGCGCTAAGTTGAGCGCGGGGCGGGAATTTTAAAACATTTTCCAGCCAAAACCTCGCTTTTTAAAAATTCTGTAAATTTTTGAATTTTAGCGCGAATCCAAAAATTCGAAAACATGTCTTTTCAGAATGACTTACCTGACTTATGAAAAATCCAATTGTGTCGAAATTTGAATTTCAAAATTTTTTGCCAGTTTTTGAAATTCATTAAAATTATAAACTCGTTAAAATTTTTAATTTTTCAAAAAATTATGCAAAATTATTTGGATTTTTTACAAGTCAAGTTAGTCATTCTGAAGAGACATGTTTTGGAATGTTTGGATTCGCGCTAAAATTCGAAAATTTACAGAATTTTTAAAAAGCGAGGTTTTGGCTGAAAAATGTTTTAAAATTCGCGCCTCGCGCTCAACTTGCGCATTAGGAAAAATGAAAAAATATGGGCATGCTTATTTTTTGTGGTGAACAAAATAAAATTGGTCCCAACCCGATCTGAGTTGTACACGTAAAAAACTTGCATTGTAAGATTTAGACGATTAAAAAAAAATTCTCATCTACTACAAAGGCAAGTCGAAAATTAAGTTTAATCGGTTTGTTGAATTATGCAGCAAAAATTTGAAAAATTTATTTTTACAATTTCGTCATAGGCACGGCGGTATATGCGAGCAAATATCGAAGGTTTTTAAATTAAAAAAATAACTTTTAAATTTGTGCGTTAATTCCACAAGGATATTAAATATTTTCTACTTGAATATTACTAGAGAAGAAAATTTAAAAAATGTTGTTCAAAGTTCAAAGGTTTTTTGAAAACTTTGATATGCTAATTTCGGGATAATTTAAAATCCTGATTGTAATAGTTACCTACAAAATTTGTAGTGCAATGCCTTAAATTAAGTATTACAGTTTTTGATTTTTTCTTAATCAACGAATTTAACGTCTTCCCTAAATTTTAGAAATTTTTATTTGGACTCCTATTTAACAGAAACCTGCTTATTAAAAAGATAGGTTCAACTTTTTAGCTTTAAATAAATACTTTTGGAGCACTCGAAAATAGATCCTCAAATTACCCAAAACTTGTTTTTAAATAATTGGTATCCCTTTTCGTTTTTGGGTTAGAAACCAGAAAAACACAAAATTTTGGGGATATGAGAGGACGCTGACACCAATTAAAATAATTCGATGCTTCCAATTTTTTGCATTTGAATTTTAAATTAATCCTTTTTCATAATTTGTGTGCAGTTTTGTATCATTTTCAATTTTAGAGGGAAATATTTATGTATAAAAATCGGATTTCGAGAAAATTTGAAACCTATTTTCACCAAATGTCAGCCATAAACAGAAAAAAACATTTATTCAAAAAGCAATGCAAAATCTAATATAGACAATAATTTAATTTCAAAAAATAAATTAAATTTAAATAAAAAATTAAAATTAATGCAAAAATTAATTTAAGATGGAAATATGACTCCTTTTTCTTATTTTTGAACCTTCAAGTTGCTACATTGTCAAAAATTTGAAAATATGCAAATGAGGATGTTTAAAGGAATCAATTCTTACATTTTCTTCCGCGGAGGATGTTGCTTTCCAATATTAGAAAAAATTGTGAAAAAGCTGGAATTTTTAGTTGAGCCGGGTTTCGGGTTGGGCTAGTCGGAGTTTTGATTTTTTCAGGATTTTCAAACATTTTTTCGGTGTTGTGGTTGTAAAAAAACGGAAGCCCATGGTATCCATTGCTCGCGTACAGATCCTTGCTTACATTCAAGTTATGAAGCTGCACTCAATTATTACGTGGCAACACCGCTTTACGCTTTTCTGATGTTTGTCGGTCTGTCCGTCCATCCGCGTATCTAGAAGAAGGCACATACTGTCATCGTACTCTACTCTGTCACCTCATTTGCATATTTTAACGCATTCGTGAGAGTCATAGAGTTTACTCAACATGGAAAGCCCGTATCGCCGAAAATGGGCTATTGAGATTTATGCAAATGAGGTGACACGCCTAAATGCGAGGATAGTATGGGCGAGTACGTTCAAACTATGGATTGCATGTCGAGACGGGACGAAATTAGATTTGGGTGGGGTGATGTGACACAATGATAAACAATGCAATGGCGTGCAACGAGTGAAGGACTAGTGGGTCTATTGGTTTCATCCCTTTGCTACATTTCGTTCGGAACGGTTTACTTCAGGGTTACAAGTGATATATATCACTGAGTGAGATTTAATGATATATATTACTCATCTCACTTGGGGCTGAGTGAGAAATAATGAGATAAACATGTAGTTCATGACCCCGTCCGCTAGGTGGCTCTAGTGCATGGCTCATAAATCTCACTATATCTCATATTTCTCATGTCTCACTATTTCTCATTATATCTCAGTGAGATGAGATTTCTGCAACCCTGGTTTACTTATATTTATTGATTTATTTTGTGAAAACTTTATTGATCGCGCTGATTTATGTATATACGTTCATTATGCAAATCAAATTTTATTCAACTCTTAACCGAAAAAGAAATCGACTTTGGGTTTCGGAAATTTGGACCCAGACTCACCTCTACACGTGTGGAGAGGATGTTTGTCAAGTGCAATTGCGAAATTTGCACTCTATCCCCCGAGCATCAGACCACGATCAAAATAAGACATCTGAATGCGTCTTATGTTTGAAGGGGATGCTATACAATCTGGACTCTGTCCTCGCATCGGACGAAGATAATGGTAATCAGAGACGAATGAAAGTGGTCTTATTTTTGGCCAAGATGCTGACATGATTTGTATGCATAAATACATTACCCATGTAAGTGGTACTAAGGATAAGTACTTACATAGTACAATTATAGGTACTTATTTATGCACATTACAGCAAGCATGCAGCATTTTTACAGATTATTCATGGGATTGGCCTCGGGGTCAGGCAAAGCTTGGTGTGTGATCGTTCAATGTACGCGTCAGTCTTAATTGCGATGCTGGCACGGCACGTGGAAATTTTTATGCATAATTGCTGACTTGATATGTATGGGAACATATATATGTATGCACTTGCAAAAATTTGGTCAAAATTTTATTTTCCAGGGTCATCCAGTCCCAAGTTACATACACGCTAGAAAATAATATAACCCTTTTAAGAAATAAACGCACTCTTAACGTTGTGTTATGGAAACTAAACTATATTCAGAATAAAATTAACTAATAATGGAGGTCTCCCAACGTATGCTCACCGATTTGGCCCAAACTAGCGTCAATCGGTCACAAATATAATTAGTATGGTATGAAATCTGCAAATGGAACTATCTGCCAATTCTCAAGTTTAGCGGAGATATTTGCATAAAAAGGGGAGAGAACGCACCCCCAAGGCTGGCAAATTTTTCATTTTCCAAATTTTCTACGCATTTTTCCTGCTTTGGATGCAAATATCTCCGCCAAACCTGCTTATTGGCAGATAGTTCCATTTGCAAATTTCATACTAATTATATTTGTGATCGATTGACACTAGTTTGGTCCAAATCTGTGAGCATACGTTGGGAGACCTCCATTATAAGTAAATAATAAGTAAAGTTTACTCAGGATTTAGAATAATTCACTTACAAAGGAATCCCCATAAACATTGAACTATGGGCCATAGCTGGAATTAGTCAGGGAAGTCTGGCAAACCTCGGCGACAAACTGACTTTGGCAATATTAGTCCATATACATATTCCCGTAGTCCGACACTCATTCTCTGGTCCACCCTTGGCCCATACATGAATATCCAAGTCTGGCTTGAGTCCTAAATAGTGAGTCTGGCCCAAAGCATTCTGTCCAAACTTTCCCCAAAGTAAGAAATTCATCTGTGGGCCAGAGTCGCCCCATAGTTTGCATCCCAAAGTCTGGCAACATTGCGGCAGTTATTATCCGGCCCACTTTGGGGAAACATCTGAGCATTATTTCATCTTTTTGTCAACGGACAACATTATTTTGGCTCCTTCAGTCATTATTTCTCGCACCATGGCCATTAGTATTTCGAAAAAATTTTGTGTTGTGCAATTTCTAAAAGAAAATTCTTTTGCTGCCGTCCCCTCTAAATGGATCATTGAAGAAGAAGGAAACTTGATGTGCAGGTGGCCAAGAGGGACACAACTATTAGATTTAATTAAGAATCCTGATAGCATTCCTAAGAAAACGTGGAAGAAACTAGGAATCAAATTATTCCGGTCCTTCGGTAGTGGTGAGTTCAAATTACATTACATTCTGTTTATTATTTGTGTTCTGGATTTCTAATGTAATAAATATTGAAAAATTTACAGATGAATACGAGTTAGCAAACTTCAATGTCGACCAGGCCAAAGTAATTAGTGGAGGCGAGAGTCAAAGTGGTTCGCTGTCCAGCGACAAAGACGAGGTCAACGAAACGGTCGGAGTTAAGAAAACAAATAATATAATATCGACTGATCTGTCCGTTTCTTCATTAACTGCTCCACCGCTAGGTAATTTAATTGCAGCCTTATGTCATAATTATGGTTGTGCTAATTTTATTGTCCCGATAGATTTTAATCAAGATTTGGAACTCAGTCCTGTCAGCCCTACCACTTCAAACAATTTACAGGAACCAGTGATTTTGGTGGATGACCAGAGAGAAGGTTTTACACAAAATGGTGATAATAACTCTCAAAATGCACCTGATTTGTCTACTCCAATTTTAATTCAAACCCTTCCTTCAGATTCTGACAAAGGTAGTTAAATAATAAATTGGCATGCTTTATGTACATATTTAGTTGTCAATTAACGTAAAAATAAATTCTACAGTGTTTCAAGAGACCGTGATAAAACTTTTGGTGGATCTCAAGACTGAAGTTGCTGTCCTCTCAAGTAAATTGGCATCTCTAACTACTGTGAATAACCTACACAATGGCGACGAGGTGACCTTTAACTTGCCTATACTAACATCTTCAAAATTTCGAGAATCAATTGAATGAACCAACTGCGAAAAGGAGCTTAGTAAGTTGACATACTTATATATTGCGAAATAGGAATTGCATTTAATTACACTTTTATTTCCTATTTATTTGTAAATATTTTTAAAAACATTTAAACATTTAAAAACATTAAAAACATGTAAAACATTTTTAGATATTTGTGTTCTAATAGTTATTAACTTTTATTCTAGTTGATCAAACTCGTTGAAATTGGAGGATTGGATTTACACGAAACGACTACACGGACGCTGGCTTATGTCTTTGGTCAGCCAATTGCAGAAAAAACCTCCAAAACAGGAAAGGGCTTAAACGAGTACGCATTTTTGAAATTAAAGTGCTCAACCATAATAATTGGTAGGTATAACATTTTCTACACGTTTGTTAATAAAATTATCCAAATTAAACATGTACTAATTATCTCGTATCTTAGATGCTATTCTTCACAACTCTAATTGTGCCCTCAAAACAAGGAAAGACGTAGAAGTTGAAGTTGAGAAATGGTTCAACGGTGCAAGGGACAGAGACGGTGGAAGAGAACGACGCCGTAAAATTCCCCCCGGTGCCGTGGTTCCAGATAATTAATTAGAATGGACTCCTCAAGATCAACTCGGTATAGAAGAAAACGGAAATTAGTTGAAAATATCCTTCATAATATTCGACACCCAGTGCCAAATTTACTTCTTACATTACCTATTAATTATAATTTATCATCAAGTACTGAAAATCATAGTAGTAGCCCAGATAGCGTAGCCCAATATTTGCCTGGTTTAAATGACTTCCAGGGGGATAGTTTGGAGTCGACAAATTTAGATAATAGTTCTCAAATAGTTAGTTCTTCTGACGATAGTGATGAGGGGGTGTCAGATATTGAATCAGAAAGTTTATGTGAAGCGTTTAGAGACTGGAGTTTAAACCATAATATAACACATATTGCCACAAAAGATCTGTTAAGTATAATTAATGAAAAATGTGGCGTGACCATCCCTAGGGATTCAAGAACTTTATTAGGCACACCCACTTCAACCAAAATAAGAGAAATGGGTCAAGGGCAATTCCACTACTTCGGAATTAAATCAATTCTTCAAAAATGTATTTCTAGCGGTTGTATATCTGAATCAGATTTAAGTATTTCACTTGGAATTGATGGATTGCCAATTAGTAAAAGTGGCCGTAGTCAGTTTTGGCCGATTATTTGCAAAATTCATCAAAGTAAATGTAATAACTTAGGCATTGTTGCTCTGTATTTTGGACAAACGAAGCCTGCAAGTTGCGCTGAGTATTTAAAAGATCTTTGCTCAGAACTTAATTCATTTCAAGCTGGTACACAATTTTTAGGCAAATTATTTAAAATTAAAATTCATGCTATTATAGCAGACGCACCTGCTAGAGCTTTTATAAAACAATGTAGTCCATATAACGCTTATTACGGCTGTGAAAGGTGCGAACAAAAGGGAAAATGGTTAGGAAAAGTGGTTTTTCCTGAACAAAATGCTGTATTGAGGACAGACGAGGATTTCAAATTAAGGTCTCGTCATGAACATCATCAGGGTATATCACCATTAGCAGATTTAAATTTTGGATTGGTATCGCAGATACCAATCGATTATATGCATTTGGTGTGCCTTGGTGTCGTAAAACGTTTATTACATATGTGGGTCAAGGGTCCTCTCCCATACAAACTCCATAACAATTTGATATCTAAAATAAGTTGCAATTTAGAACGGTATATTGCATATGCGCCCACAGATTTTTCGAGGAAACCGAGATGTATTAGAGAGGTAGACCATTACAAGGCCACAGAGTTTCGACAATTTTTGATTTATACAGGCCCAGTGTGTTTGTTTAATATTTTGCCTTTAAACAAATATAATCATTTTCTATTGCTTCATGTAGCAATTCGAATTTTGTTATCAAATTCTGCTCAGGATATCAGTTGGAACAAATATGCTGACCAACTTTTGCGTATGTTTGTTTTTCAGTACCCTTCACTATATTCAAAGGATTTGGTTACATATAATGTACATTCATTAATTCACCTTAGTAATGATGCTATAAAATTTGGAAAATTAGACAATATAAGTGCATTTCCATTTGAGAATGAGATGCAATATATTAAACGAACATTACGGTCCAAGCGTCATCCAATGCAGCAAATGATTAATAGAATTCACGAGAGGCAAAATATTCACAAAAGTAAAATCCCAGTAATTTATAAAGGTCCTGGGTTTAGTTTAAAATCTAGTTCCGTCGTTACTTGCAAGAAAGGGAACAATGTGGTCCTCTTGAATAGTGGTGAGTGTGTATTAATTAATTATATTAATAATGATATATGTGAGGGGTTTAAATTTAAAACAGTTAAAAGCTTGTATGATCATCCCTGTCAAAGTCAGAACGTACACATGTACTTATGTGCAGATATTGACACAAACAAGATACAATTTAAAAATAGTTGTGTAAAGTCAAAATGTTATATGATTCCTCATTTAGAATTGGACACATTTGTGTGTGTCGCGCTACTTTAATTTATGTTCTTTTAGTGTATCTAATTAATTTTGTTAAATGTTATTCATAATTTTTGTATGTAGCTTACGCTTAATTTAATTCAATAAGAAATAAAAACATATATGAAGGATATATATAGTATATATTTCTCTGGCATTCGATTGGCACATCTCTGGCTGACATATGGCATATGAAGCGAACCCCCAGGCCGAAGTATGCGTCACTTCTGGGATTACTTCGGCGGTTGATATGGGCCAAAGTTGGACCAGTCGCGAACCATAGATGGTCAATCTCTGGCTATTCCTTGGCCCTGTGTTAGGCTAAGTGCGGCCCATCTCTGGCCGACATCTCTGGCACATAGCTTTCCCCGAGGTCAAATCGGGTTCTAGGCCAGACTTCACCCACTTGCATGGGCCATACATGGGCCAAAGATAAAATGTTTATGGGGAAGGCATGGCGTTAAACTTAAAAATCAGCATTTTGGACCAATTTAAATTTGCTAGAAGTTTTATAATTGTTCTGAATTCTCAAAATCTTTTGTTTAAAATGATCACAAAAGTCGAAATTGTAAGGACAAACATATTTTTTTTAATTTGACTTTTTGAGATATTTTCATCATATTTTAGACTAACCTATAAATATGTCTAAGAAAATTGCGAAACATTTAACATACAAACATTTAATTTAACAAAAAATTAACTTGAAAAACTCATTTTTTTACGAATTTCATTGAATACAAAATTTAAACTTTTTGTAATGATTTCAGTAAAAATATACGAAAATTCGTCAAGGATCTTAAAATTGATGGAGGTTTTAAAAATCACAACATTTAACTTTGGCAAATATGGCGCCACGGTATTGCTCCAAATATAAGTTTTACACGAAAATATGAACCGATCCTTCATCTTGGGCCCTAGCGGATTCTAAAAAAATATTGTGGATACTCTGGAACGACAAGCAGTAGGGAACCTCCCCTTGTTAGAAATGTTGAAATAAATTTACTACGGGCATTATGGATTTAATATATTTGCAAGGAACACAATCAAATGTAAATTACTAATTACTAAGTCACGAGTGAGGACCATCCTATTCATGAAGGCTGCAAAATACGAGGCAGGTATGCACAGAGAAAATACTTGATTTTAGAACAGGGAAAACTATCATGAAACGGATTAAATTTTCAATTAGATTTAAGACCATAATTATTGGAGGTAAATCTTTGATTTTTCCAATAGTACACATGCATTTATTTCTTACGCAATTCTAAAATGGATACATGCATATGTATGTACATCAATGATTTCAAAATTTGATTCTTAGTTGCACAAATCAATATAATAATTGAATTTGTCTATAGTTAGGCCGACATTTAATCAACTATGGAACGGGGTGCTGGTTCATATTTGTCGTGGCCATCGCTGCCTCCCATTCGGCAAGTAGTTGAATATTGCGGAGAGTCATAGGGTGGTCTAGACCCCTAGCCTTTTTCTCAACTGCGACAACTTCCCTCTTAATTTGCAGTGCCTCTTCTTTATTTCCAGCTTCCCACAGACTATCCGACAAGGCGGACCTAGTAGAAAGTGTGATTTTGTGTGCTTCTCCATATTTTGTTTTGAATGACTCGTGTAGCTCTCGGAGGTTCGTTATTGCTTCTGAATGTTTGCCAGCTGCCGTTAGTTCAAGGCTTGTCGCAAGTTTTCCAAATCTATCAAGTAGTGAGACGAATTCATCACCCTTGGCACCACTACTGGGTGCAATTGGTTCGTCTCCTATGACGGTTTTGACAAGTTCAATTAAATTTTGAACAGGTGTCTCTTCACCACAAACCATTTCTAGGATTTCCTCTAATGCCTCCCCGAAATCATCAGACTCAGATAGCTCGACCAATCGTCTTAATTTCGCTAAATCATTCTCGTCAGCGAAGGATTTCTCTGTCATGAACATGTCGGTCATTTTAGAGGAGATTGCGTCTAGTTTCTCTGGGTTCTGCGCTAATTTTTGTAAAGGCTTTTCTAAATCAATTGAGTTAAAAATATCTGAATTTGTTAATTGGTCTGAAAATATATTGATGAACGGTGTCAAATTTTTTTCAAGGTTTCCATCTAATTTGCCGTCCGTCACATTTAGACAAACTTTTGCTGCTTGAATACGCACTTTAAGTTCTTCTGCATACCTTTCATCGGCAATTTCGTTTGATGTCGGTGTAGCCAACATTGTTTCGAACGTTTCTATGGCATCCTGAAATTTTCCATTTTCAGTCAAAGCCCATCCAATACAAAACTGTATTAGACGAGCGGGTATACTTTCTTTTCCAAACAGAATAGATAGCAAATCGTAATTTGTTTTTGCAAATGCCACCAACTCAGTGACCATGGGTAGTTCCTTCATACGAGAAAAGATTTGGTGGGCCATGTTTGGCTTGGTAAAAACCGCTCTGTTTTTATCATGAGTTACTATAGAATCCCAAATGCTCATAACGTGTCGCAACTCTGGTGCTGTTGTTTTTTCGAGTTCCACTATTGGGATTAGAACATAACCTGCAGCATATTCTGAGTCAATTTTCGCTATTTTTTGAACCCTTCTATGAACGGATACCTCCTCGTAATCCAAGTTGATTAGAGAAAACTCTTGGAGTCTGAATAACCCGGCGTTAAAATATTTCAATCTTATATACTTGTCGTCTTCTGCTAGTTGGTCGACCTTCTGTAAAATTTCCACCAATTTCATAGGCCGTCCAAGCATCCCTAGGACATATTGGCCAACCAATTTGTTCAGATATTCAACCATAATTCCATCTGGCCTGACCAGACATAACACATCCATTATTTTCTGACTCATTTCTCCCTGTTGTCCATCCGCCTCTCGGATAAATTTCATTGTTTTGTTCACAACGAGGTAGATTGTTTCGTCGTACTTTGACAACTTCAATTTGTACTTAACAAGCTCTGCTTTATCCTGGTTAAATTCGGTAATATAGTCGGAAATCTTGTACCCTTTTCCTGCGGTTGAACAATTTTGTTGAGCACGAATATAAGCGACGGCCTGTGCACATGCTAAGGCATGATTTCCCAACAATTTACAAAGTAGCTGGACATCGGCATGGTCGACATTTTTAAGTGCATTGTGCACCAGTTTATAAGCATCTTCATCGGACAAGGATTGTAACTTGAGTTGCTCCGTTTCTCCATGGAGGAGATTAGCACGTCGGGTCGTGATGAGCACGGATGCTGATGAATCGGTAAATTCTTCGATGACTTCAGGAAATCCGTCGTACTCAGAATCAACGTTATCAATGACAACAAGCTAAGGGAATTTTCTGGGCAATAATTTGGCAGAAATATTATTTATAAGTTTGTCGACTGGGTAAGGTGTTCCAGAGCTATCTTTCACTTGCAAGCCTAGTTGTTCCGTGTATTGAGAGATGGAGGTGACGAGTTGATCATATGTGTCACCTTGGAACCAAGTTACAATTTGGGACGGATTTTCTTCTTGGATTTGTTCTACAAATTTTTTGCAAAGTTGAGTCTTGCCTTGACCACCCATGGCGCTGGTTACTACACAGGTTCTTTTCTCCTTGAAGTATTCCTTAACCTGCACAAGTTCGTTTTCTCGTCCTACGAATGTTCTAATTGGTGGGGTAATGTTAAATGATTTGTCTGCTTGGGATATATCGGTGGAGTTAGATGGTTGTTGCCTTGTGGGAGCTACGATTAAAGTAGTAGGATCACCAAGTTTAAGAATATTATCTGCAAGGTACACAAATAAAATCATTTCAGGCTACCCGGTCAAGGATTTTTCACGGAGCGTGACATCGCCCCAACCCAATCGATGGATGTCAAAACGTCATAAACATTAATATTTTTTAGCAAAATTTTAGGTAAAACAAATTTTATATAAAATTTCTGATTTGAGTACTTGGTCGAATCCGGGCATGCTCTATCCGGTTATTTGCATTTATTACGCTAATGTCAAAAAACTGTTTGTCATGATATTAGAGAACGTTGTTACGGTAAAGAAGGGTGCTTGGGTTATCAGAGCCCAATAATGTCACCCCTATCTGACACCTGGTAAAACCGAATGAGCTGCAGCCTTAAAAACATTGCGTTATGAAGCTTACGAGGGGAAATTAATTTGTGACGTGTTACTAAATGTGCCCACATTTCAGGTAATCGTAACTTTCAAATTTGAAACGCACATACTGGAATTTTTCTGTGCTCAATCTACTAATTAAGTAAAAATTCATTGAAAAAAACCTACAGTGCAGACTCCATATAGCCCGAGTCAGGGACATAGTCCCTGAATCAATAAGTCAGAGCCCACTTCTAATTTTTTTCCGACCGACATAATATCACCAACTTCCGTGTTGTGGATGGTTAAAAGTTTGTTAGATAGTTTCTACTATTTGGTACCAAATTTTTGAATTAGTCACAAATTATGTGCCTTGACCACCATGACCAGTGGGCTTCTTTAACATCGTGAAGTTCTAAGCTGTATGCATGTACTATCCAACAGTGGTTTTCACTTTTTCAGCCTCCATATCAAATTTCAGCTCAATATAACGATTTTGAAAAATCAGTATGGGTCACCCGATAGGGTCACTCTGGTTGCACTTTGCTCACTTTTAACTTCATATTCTTTAATTAGACCGACCCGACCCGTTACCCGCGGCAACCCTAGTTAATACAAGGAAGGCACGAGTTTCTCAATTAAGGTTACGTTACGTTTGTGGAAATTTCGAAATTTTATTTCAAAATTCTAGAGCTCTAGAGTAGCAAATTTGAGCAATTCCCGGGGTAGTAAGGGTTTTCAAATTTAAAATGAGTCGATAATATTTTACAACAGCACGTTATATGTACATATGTATGTACCTATAGTGTGAAAATTAAAAGAATAGTACGTTTTACTTATATACATACAAAGCTTGTGGCCGGCAGTACTCTTTTTTTACAAATCAAAACATTCATGCAGTGACCAAAGGTCTCGTTCATCTTACATAATTGAAAAAAAAATAAAACACTACAATTCCTCCACGGGTAACGATTTGTCTCCACATTATTTAGAGTGTAATTCTACGCAGTTGGCTGCATATGTATTTATTGTAGCGTATTTATTATAACCTATGACTTTATGCATGAATAAGAGAATTGAACTTATTGCGACGTGGTAGGATGACTGCGCATTATTGCAAAAATTGGATTAACAAATTTGCACTTGACTCTTGATAAGCTGTTGTGATAAGGTTTGTACATTTCGTATTCGTTCCAATGGAGTATGGTGTATGGAAATATGTATATTATGCTGTGATGCTGGTAAGGTTCAACGGCTTGGACAAATATGATAAATAACAATATTTTGCTCGTGTATTCATATTTGCAAAGATATTTATTTAATTAATCAGTAAATTTATTTCAGTTATGTACTAGGGTTGCCGCGGGTAGCGAAAATGCTACCCGTTACCCGACCCGCTACCCGCCGCACAACTACCCGTACCCGCACGGGTACCCGTGCGGGTACCCGTTACCCGCTACCCGTTATGAGAATTAAGTTAAAGCTAGCCAACCTTCAGAATAAATTTGATTTAATCAATTATTTGGGCTGTTCAGTAGTTTGAGATAATGCTATGCAAGTTACCAATGCCATAATTCGCTAGATGTCATTAGATGTTTCTGAAAGCAGACTTTTTGGCTTTTGGAACCTTTTTCAAACTACATCAGAATTTCTTAGCGAATTGTGTAAAAAATCAAGCCAAAAATTAGGAATTATCACTTATCTTTCCGTTGAATAGCCGGTTTAACGAAAACTATTGGGGGCAAAGTTCAAAGTCCACCATGGTTTTCGTCCAGTGGAGGAAAAACATGCAGAACATTTAAATACTTAAAACCTACAGTGCAGACTTGATATAGCCCGAGTCAGGCGTAAATCTGTTTTTAAACTAAAATTATTAAAACTTCGAATTCTTCAATTAAGAGCCTTTAGTAACCCATATACCAAAATTTATCCACCATCACTAAATGTAATCGGCTATCACTAAATTTTTGTTAGTGCACACATTTTTTTCCCTTGGTCACCAGTATCGACTGTGACCATAACTTTGAAACGAGTGTATATTTTTTCTTAAAACTTTCAGGATATTATGTTATCAATATTCGATGTAACATATGTAAATTCCAGCCACGCGGGTGACTAGGTTCATATACATTTGTTGGTGCACACATATTTTTCTCCCTGGTCTGGTCATCTTATTGGGTTGCCCAATAAGGTCCTCTAGATGAAAATTTTTCTTATTTTTCTTCGTATTATTCCATTAGGAGCTATTACCAACTTATCTACCAAATTTCAGCTCGATTTGAAGAATTGAAAAATTAGCATGGGTCACCCCATAGGGTCTGTCCAGGTGAAAATGTGTCGAATTTCAATTCATATTCTTCCATTGGTAGTCATTAACAACCTATGTACCAAATTTCAGCTTTATTGGCTAAGTTTTAAAAATCGGTATGGGTCACCCCCTAGGGTCCCTCCAAATGAAAATTTTTACAATTTTACTTTGTATTCCTTCATTAGAAACCATTATCAACCTCTACACCAAATTTCAGCTTTCTACAGCAATTTTGAAATTTTGATGCATAATACCCACCCAGATGACCCCCACCGGTCAACCACTTGACCGATTTCGCCCATCTTCGAACTTAACTCCTCCTTTGACCCTTACTACATTTGTGCAAAATCTCAAGTGGATCGGATTAGTTTTACGGCAGTTATCGCAAACCAGACAGACAGACAGACGGACAGACAGACAGACAGACAGACGGACATGACGGGTACATAAGCCCTGACTCGGGCTAAAAATTCATTCAGTTCGAGTTTAGTTTGACCATTAAAATTGAACGATACTTTCAATTCTCGGAATGTCACTCTTAAATCATCGAGCTGAACAAATGCGAGACCAAATATTTATTAATAATGCCATTGTACGGAGTCTGGAAACGTGTCGTGTACAGCTTTTATCTCAGCTTGTTCAAAATCCATCAGAACAGCTTATCTTCAAATTTAAGTTTCTCTTTGCTAAGTTACAGTTCGTAACAGTAATTTGACATCTTTAGTCTAAAATATAAGGGTAAAAAGAACAAAACAATCCTCCGAATTACTGCTGTGTAATATTTTGAATATTTTGGAATGTCCGCAGTGTATATTCGTCCCACGATGCACATGTATTGTGTATACGTGTGAACTCATATAGGTAAAATCAGTAATAATGTTACATGAAATTCGACGAGTTTCATGCCACCTAAATTCGACGACTTGCCTTTCTGACGAGTTTTTCATTCGACAAGTTGATTTAGACGACTTACCTTTTCGACGACATAGGATTCGACAAGTAACCCGTATCCCATAATACTTATGTATATATGTACAATATTCATATGTTGTCATGGAAACCAGACTAGTTTTTTTTTCAAATTTCACCTGCAGTCTGCACCCATTTTTCTCACCGTACACAGCTCAAATATTTATCTCTATATTCTCTGGAGGATGTATTAAACCCAAGAAATATTCATCATGGGAATTAGCTCGTTCATATGTAACATTTTAAATCCCTTACTTCAACCTCCCCCCGGAGAAAATGGGGCCGAAGGTGTGCGAAATACGGGGCAAATTTTGGCGATTAAGGCCATATCACGGCTCACCTTTTATCCCAGCCTGTTCCACAATGTCATCAAGGCTTGGACGTCAGAAAGGAATTGGTATGATCGGATCGACGAAAACGTGATACTCGGTGCCCTTCCGTTTCGTGGGATGGTGGATGAACTCAAAAGCGAAGGCGTCACGGGGGTCGTCTCGCTAAATAAGGATTTCGAGTTGTGGATGTTCTCGCATGGCAAAGAGGTGCTCATTTCGTATATTTTAAATATAAAATCGGTGATAAGTGTAATTTTATATTGGGATTTTGTTGAGTATAATATTTCTTAGTGATTTGTGATGTAGTTTTGCAAAGAGAATTCACTCACGCTGCATTTTTTCGTTAGCAAAAAATTTTATTGTTGTAAAATGTGTGCAATGTTTCATGAAAAATACTTTAAAGTCAGAAATTGTAAGTCAATGTTGTCCCCAATTTCATATAAGAAGATATGATATGCCGTGAAAACATAGAATTTTATTATTTGTCAATTCACGTAGGCCTTGGTAACTTTGTAAAATCCGCAAATTCTGTAAAGTTACAAACTTTCACAAAAATTTCTAAGGAAAATGAGCTTGCACAAATTTTTGTAAACTTATTCCTCAGATCAAGGGCACCCTTTTAGTTTGCAAAACTTTCTGATTTTACAAGTTTACTAATGACTGCATAAATTAGCTCAGTATTTTTATCACGTATTTTCAGGGCTGGGAGAAAAACCAGGTGCCCTTTTTGCAGCTAGAAACCCGAGATAATTTCGAGGCCCCGAGTCAATCAAAGCTGAAAGAAGGGGTCGACTTCATTATGAAATCGAGAGGGACGATCTACGTTCATTGTAAAGCTGGCAGGACGCGGAGTGCGACGTTAGTAGCGTGCTATTTGATGCAGGTAAATCAATATTCAGTAACTGCATGAATTTCACTCTGATAATTTATAGATATAAACTCTTGTATTTTTTACCCTGGTAGAAAAACAAGTGGACACCTTCCCAAGCGATAGCTCACTTGACGGAGTGCAGATCACACGTATTTTTAGGGCCAGCACAAGTAAAAGCAATCCGTACATATTACGAGGAGAATGTAGCAGAACGGATGCAACTGATGCAAGATGCACTATAATGTTTTTCAAATTTTCTTTGGAAATATAAAATTTCAAAAAGGAAAATATGTTAATATTTATTTCATGTTTCTACATAATCATATGTTTAAAGGCTAATAATATGTAAGGTAAAACACCCCAGCTCTCTACAGATCTGCTCAAGTTTAGGTAACGATTTGAAGCACCACTTCCGAATCAGTACAGCATAAATGGTATCGCAATGTAAGGTCACATAATGCACTATTATGAATCATAAGCTAAAAAATTAACTATACCTAAGGCAGTAACTGTCGTATTGCTAAAATATGCAAAATATATTTGCTCATATTTAAGTTAAAATTTTTAACTACTTCATATTTTTTTAGAATCTGAGTCGTCTGCATAAAAACGAGTTTCTCTCGTCGGAACAATTACCATCATACACTTTCTTGGGTACAATTGCCAATTAGTGTTTTTTTAAGAGTACCTCGAATCTTATTCGACCCGAAGGTGATGACTTCAGTCCGCATATTTTTCTCTACCGGGTTTGACCACGGACCTATGTACAGCGCCGGCCTGCAAACGCCTCTCTCCCCTTGCGAGACCAAGTAGCGAATCAAATCTGTCAAATAATAATGCAAAATTGGAAAAAAAAATTATTCATGTGCGAATTTAACGTGGGACAACCTACCCAAAATTTGCCACTGTCTGTTTTCATCGAGTTGCTTCTCCTCTCCCGGGGCCTGACCCCTCATACGCCGTCCGGTCGGGGTGGCATCGCGAAGTTCGTCCTCGTCAAAGATCTCTTTTATCAAAAATTGTCTCCCCATATGAACCGGACCGTTTGAACGGTACAGTTTCTCAGCACCGGTCCACGTTTTATGGCAAAAAGCGTGCGTGCGGGTAGTCTCGCCGATTTTTAGTGTCTGCGAAAACAAGCATAATTTCAAGAATTTTGCAAAGTACCTATCAGCACATACATACAAATTCTTCAAATAAATTGTGACTGAGAAATTTGCAAATTTCACGTGCAATTTTTATTTGAAGTTCTAACTCTGAACAAGCTAAAAGTGGCTACTGATTTATTCATGAGGATGATTTAATTTTGCAACTACCCATCAGCATACACAAATTCTGCTAATAAATTGTGACTGAGAAATGTGTAAATTGCACGTGCAATTTTTACTTGAGACTGAACAAGCTAAAAGCGATTACTGATTTATCTATGCATGAGGACGCCAGTGATCTACCCCTACATGTTTTTGGAATTAGAATAAAATAAAATTTCCATAATATTTACCAACGACATATAACTTGTTTTGGTGTAGTCCTCTCTCAACAATTTAGGCTCGATCCCATTAATAAGTCCCGTTCGTTTCCATTCCTTCAAAGTTTCCTTATCCAGGAAGTTTTGTACACAAGTAAAACGTTGAGCATCTTCAAGACCGTCGTCGCCTTGTCTGGGGGACAGAACCAGATTTTGAAAAACAAGACCGTCCGGTGATATGGATACATCCATCTGCCCAGAGTCCGAGGTTGCTTGAAATACCGCGGGAGAATGGGGTAAGCAGTGTGGTTGATTTTGGAAGTTGGCAACATTTAGCATATTTGGTAAGGTAGGTGAGTTAATGGCCCCTGACGGGTCAAGGGTCAACAGGTCCTTCAACCTTCCGAGGACATTGTTCCTTCCATGGATCCAAATCTCCTCATCTATCTGTCTGCACTCTTCCAAAGTTGGGTACACGTTATGGTCGGGAATTTGAGAATCATACATCTCCTCGTACCCTCGTTTATTGTGTCGTCTTTCGTACAGAAATTTAGACGCGCCTAAAATATGGGTGCAAAATAAGTATGTACGAAAAAATCGGAAAGATTTTGAAACTTGTCTAATTATATAACTCACGATAGATGGCCAACATTTTGACTGAGCAAATGGATCCGACCCCTTTGAAAGTTTGTATCAATTGCCCAACATCGCCAAAATCTAAGCGAATAATTGTACTGGATAATTTCGCTGCTACTTTTGCAATAGAAATCTCCCCCTGTTTGAATGCTGCTTTCCAACGTTTTTCACTAAATTGAACGCCATCCTGTAAAAATGTAAAAACTAGTAAAAATTGATTAAAAACTGCGATTAAAAATTGCAAAAAATAACGGGGAAACGGACCACGTGCTGATCTGTATTCTGCGGGATGGTGCTTTTCGTCAAGGCGGCCGCTATTTGCGCTGTGTCCATCCTAATCCCGCCAATATTTGAGTTTCTCACCGCCATGACGCACCTTTTGAACATTTCCTCATACTTTGTTTCCTCCTTTTGAGCTTCAATTATGAAGACTTCATAATCATCGGGCAAGTCAACATCGTCCCAGAAATTGTGAGCCAAACCATCCATTCGACCGGATAACTCGTTGAGAAATTGGGCTCGATAAGGCTCGTCGTTCTCGCGGCGAGAGTCATAGTTTCTCAATGTGGAATTTATTACGGCCATCATGGCCTCGTCCGGTTCGGGGAAGCGAGTCATAATTTCGTGGAAACTTGACGGAAATGACCACGGATTTATGTACGAGGTAGGATGGAACTTGGACATCATGAAGATGACGGCTCCTGACAAAATTGGGGAAAACTTGTTAAAGAATAATTCACAGTTTAAGAAATATTTATTATGATGGGAGAATTTTTATTTATTTTTTCATATTTTTTGCAGTCAATTAAATGTTAAACGTATGTAGTAGGCCTTTAAGATACATATTTGGCAACTTGTGGTGATGATGGAAATCTTGTAAATGTGTACATGTACCGTGTGCATGTCAACCTATTATTTCACAACTCATTTAGCAATGGTTTCCAAAATAAAAATAAAAACATGCATAGTTTTGGTGCAATTTGTTAATATATATTAACAATGTCGTACTTTTCTAACAAAAGTGTTACCAAATTTTTACAAGTTATGTTTGCGAGATTTTCTATGTATGTACGCGAAAGTTGCCGTGAGTGCGCCCAAAGTCATAGCAATGTGAAAAGCACTTGCACATTTTTACGCTTATCGGTAACTGATAATCAATTATATTCTGCATATGTAAAAGCTTAAATACGTACCTACTTACATACCTACGTATGTATTTGTATGTATCACTTGTATACATGCATAAATCAATGCTATGTACATACCTATGTAAGCATGCATGTATGCACATAATTTAAATTGTTATTACTAAATTAACTCACGTTGTATAATTTTGACCATGTTGTCTCTCGCAATTTTGTCCAAAATGATAATCTTGCGACACTCCGAGTGAACCATTGCTTTCCAAACGAATTGAATTGTTGAGGCGAGATCTCGCTGATTAAATGCGGTAGCCCATGCGACAGGTTGAATCCGAATTTCAAAAATATTACCAGATTTCGCGAGTGCACTGGGAATCTGTAAATATGGAAGTGTTGCAATTTTTGCTTTAAGAAAAAAACTATTTTTGCGTGGAATGAGGTAAACTATTTTTGCCATATATTTTCAAATTAGTCTAATTTGAATTTAGTGAGTATAAATTTGCATAAAAGATTTTGCTAATTTGAACTTACCCCGCTAATTAGTAACCAGTATTTTAGAAAAGGCTCAAAATATATGATATGCTCGTTTCCCGTCTTTTTAGTCAGTGATGATTCTGGCTCCATCTTTGCAAAATATTTCCTCGACTCGCGAATTTCTTGGGGGAAATTTTCATCCATAAATTTCTGCGTTATGGACTGTTCCCTGGGGCGTTTTTTCCCTCGGGGTAACATCATTGTTGCAGAGTCTTAAGAATTTTAAGGAACTTTAAAATTGGTTGCAAAACGAGTTGTAAAATTTCGAACAAATCAATTAGAAACTTTTTGTAAACGTATTGGGCGTCACAAATAGTTTGGAAAGTAATCTTACAAAGGACACTCGCGACCTGTCGTTTGAGTCCAAGTTACCCACCATGTTTTTTTGAAGCTACTAGGACCCCAGATGAAAGATCCATTCATATTTCGGTGTTAATCTCATATTTGGCGGGATGGCGTAGCGCCGAACTTAATAATCTGCATTTTCGACCAAATTCATACCTCCATAACTTTCAAGATTTCTGTTGAATTTTCAAAATTGTGTGCTCAAAATGTTCATAAAAGTAGAAGTTTTAGGGAAAAAATCAAAAAGCAAACTTTCAAAATTTTCGAGATATTTTTTTCAACGAACTCCTACATATGTTCAATCAAATTGCGAAATTTTGCAAGAAATTGAAACTCAATTTTTTTTTAATTTCATTGCATTCCCCATACGCAAGTCCTGTTCTTTTGAAAGAGAAAACGGATGGGACTTGGCGATTTTGTGTTGATTTGAGGCACATTAATAGATATACAGAGAATGACAGCTTTCCCATTCCACGCGTTCATGACATTCTCCGTAGGTTGGCCAACGCAAAGTATATCAGTACGATGGATGCAGAGAAAGGGTACTGGCAGATTCCTATGGATCGTAAAAGCCGGAAGTACACATCCTTCTGTACCCAAAGGGGTCTTTATGAGTTTAACATGATGTGCTTCGGACTCAAGAATGCTGCGGCGTCCTATCAATGGGTGATGAACGAGCTTCTTGCGGGTCTCGATTAATTTGTGTAATTTATCAAGATGAGCTGAACTTCTTGTCATAATTTTAGTCAAAATTTATGAAAATCCGTCCAGGATTTCAAAAGTAATGGCGGGTTTACAATTAAAAACCATCAAATTTGGCGAATTTGGCCCCACGACAAATTTGGGGCCAAATATGAGTTTAACACGGAAATATGAATGGATCCTTAATCTGGGGTCCTAGTAGATTTAAAAAAACATAGTGGGTACCCTGGACTCAAACGACAGGTCGTGAGTGTCCCTTGTTAGTAGCATGTCGATTTACTGTGTAAATTTGCACAAAGTAAAACTTCCTTCACTTACAACCACACAATTTTGCTAAATTTTGCAACATACGTTGGTCTGGTAAATTTAAAAGTCGCCGTGAGTACTCCCAATAAGAACTAAATCGGGGGTCTATTTTCTTTGACAATATTTTAATTTTGACACCACTGGCCATCAAATTTTGCTATTTTTCCCTTCAGCTCTGTAACATTATTTGACAGGCTCACCTTGAAAAGTGCGATTTGTGTCACTTATTGCATGCGTTCTTCGAATGCTAGATTTAAAGTTTTGGATCATCGACAATTTAGTTCCTTCTTCCGTTAGTTTCCCATCATTGGCCAATCTCTTAAATACCTTCAACATTGCAGGGTTACCACCACAGAAGTCAGCAATTCCGTTTGGGAAATTGTTCAATTCGGGTGCAAATTTTAAGACTTGTTCAGCCTCAAGTGGCTTAATTTGTATGGCCAAATCAAAATCGCCCCATCCTTTTGTTTCGTCTGTTATTACAATCATTTTGTAATAATACTCTTTCTGAAACTTTTGGCAAAGAGTAAAGTATTCTTCCCACAATTCGTTTGCCAAACTGAATCCATCCAAAATTAAGAAATCCGGCTGACTGTTAAGCAATTTAATTACCAAATCATACGGTTGTATTCCTCCAAACGAAATATCCAAATTATCACATGTTTCAGCCAAGGAGCTTGAAAAATTTTGGAAATCTAGCCATATTGTGATCTCCCTGGGACTTTCTGGTGCACCTTGGAAGTAGATGTTTAGCAGCCGTTTCACAAAGTATGTCTTTCCGATACCAATTTCACCATAAACCAGAAGACTTTGATTATCGTAAAATATTTCGGATGCGGTTAAAATTTCTTTTAGACGTGGAATGTGGCCGGGTTCTGTGAGATAATAAAACAAAATCAGTGATTAAATTCAACAATTAATTAGTTGACAGGTTGAAAAGCAGGTGTAAGATAATCTTTCGACGTCACAGCTCGTTACAACTTGAGCTATACTTTCACGCAGAAATTTATTTATCGACATTAACGTTGCTACCGCTTGGTGTTCAAATTATACCGGACCGTAAATATCTGCTACCTAAGTATATGGTAAACTTTAATACCGCTCCAATACTGTACTGTATTACTTATCATTATCTTTTGTCGTCATACATGAAGAGCCCTTTGTGTTATTAAGTAGCTTCAGCTACTTTATGCGAAGACTTTGTCTGTCTGTCTGTCCGTCAGCAGGGTAACGGAAGAACGGATTGAGATAATCGAAATCGGTTTGCGGCATCATACATCTGACTCTAGGGGGAGGATCCTTTCAACTTTTGGGGGCAACCCCCCTTGGCGCCAGGGGGTATGGCCGGGGTAAAATGAGATTCTTAGTGCAATTTAATATATAGGCGAAATAGAGCAAAATTAAATGTTCCCGAGTTGTGCCACACCCCCTCACACCCAGGGGGTGTGGACGGGGTAAAATGAGACTTTTACAAAAATTGAATCTATAGATGAAATATAGTGAAATTAAGTGTTCCCGCGATGTCGTGGGAGTGGTTGGGGCGAAGTGAGTCTGAAGCTACTTCCTTATGTGCGTTTACGACGGTTTATTTGAATACTCAATTTGTGAGATTATTCTTACAATCTCCTTTTCCAACGTGCTTAATATGTATTCCTTACCGTCTTTGTCAACAAATTCTGGTCGAGGGCAGGACGACTTTCTCAACATGTTATCTATCGTTTAGAAGATACATTAAAATAAATTTACACTAAATAGTATAAGCTTAGTTTTGATCAAACGCCGTACCCCTTGCCGTCCACATTCCATTATATTCCAATATTTTTAGCAACTGTCCTAGCGTTGCCTTCCCGTCATGTATTGTTATCCAGTAATGTATTATCTTTGCAATTCGTAGTTTCACATCATTCTGTTTTTTGAAGATGAAACAATACTTTGTATCAATATCGAACAGTTTTGATAACCGGGAACCGTCGTCGTCCGAACGATAATGCTGTAAATATACAAGTAGGTATTATCATATTTTTGGTTTAACTAACCGATTTAAAGATTTAATCCAGTTAATTTCTTACCTCTGATAATTCATCGGCTATAATTGGAAGCAATTTCTTGAAACAGTTTTTTAACAGGTAGCCCTCCATTTAGCTGCAATGTTAAAAATCTGATCGGTATTTCTCGGTGTTAAAGTTGCTATCAAAATTATCCAAAAATGTTAAAATTTCACTTTACCATCCAGGTATTACAACGAGGTATTAATTAGCAATGCCGCTTTTATAGAGCCAAATCTAATTCCTGCTTAATATTTTTTGAATACTTTAATCTCTAAGAGTGCGAATGAGTGAAATTATTTTGGAATGAATTTACTCACTTGGTTTCAATTGGTATTTTACTCTCGTATTAACATGGCAGCCTTGCAAATGCGTAGTGGTTATGATCTCGCAACTAGTACAAGAGGATGAACAAACAAGATAAAATGTACAAGTATAAAATGACCAGTATACCTACATAAATGACGCATAGACAGAGACAATCATGATACAGACAAGCAAACAATTTTACAGTAAGTTATATAAGTGCAAAATTTCTCTGTGAACGTAAATTTTGCTTGATCCCGTGAGTTATCAATATGAACAAATAATTGTTTTTTATCTCTGCACAATTACTTCTTATCAGGAGCCGTGGAAGTCGTGGGGATATTTGGGGCATATGAATAACAAGATTGGGGGTGGAGAGGTTTATCAAGGTTTGACGATGGGGAAATTGTACTCAACATCTCACCCTTCCGCGGCCATTGCTCGTTATCACATTATCAACCACGTCGGCAACATTTATCCACTCTATTTATTCTTTTATTTAAGCATCTATTTATTGCGAAGTTGTCCTGAATGAGTTACAAAATCCATAAGCGATTTCACCTCAACTCGTCCACTCTCATTGCCATGGGTTGCCAAATCACTCGCGAAAAAAGATTACAAATTATTACAATTCTATGCAACGAACCATTCATATTAAGAGAAAGGTGCCAATTTGTTGCGCACCTGGGACCCGCAGAAATTCCAGCGGCCGATATACTGCGTTGGGGTGCAAGCCAGTCAAATATGACGGGATTTGAATTATTCTCCGAAATTATGGATTCCTGGTTAAGCACGAATGGCAACGAAGCCACCGTAGAGAAATTGATAGAATGCCTTACCGCCATGGGGAATGGTACTAAATCCTGTACAGGTAATACAAAAACAAATAAAATCAGTTTTAGAGTAAATGTTTGTGCTTAGTAACCTTGTAAAATCCGGAAATTTTGTAAAATACATAATTTTAAAAACCTGTACAAAATAAGAAGGCACTCTTGATCCGAATAAGTTGTAAAAAAATTGTCGTCTGATTTTCTCAAGCTAAAAGTTTGTAAGTTTATTAGTTTCACAAAATACAGTTACAAAATAGTTACAAGTTACAAAAATACTGCATGAATTGCGTAAGCCGTTAAGTCCTTATATTTGTCTACACAGAAAAAATCGAACTACTTGGAACCCAGGCTCAAAAAAGTTGTGGATTTGGGGATGATTACGACATAGTTTTGATCGACACTTTCAGCCAATTACACTCTTTTTTTCACCCAGAAATGCAATATTTATTTGTGACGAAATACTATAAAAGATTCGATAGTGCAACTTTCTTCAAGTTAACGGAGGACACAGTCCTACAATTTGCACGGCAATATTGCGCCTCAACTTCAGAAAAATATCCAAGTTTGGGGGACAGTGAGAAGGAAATATTTCACTCTCGTCATGGGGACTTGCGTGTAGTTTTACGAAATAAAGATGGCGGTAAATTTGTTGTCGGAATGGTGAACGGGTGTGTGAGGAGCTTGATAGATCCGGGGGAAAATTGGGACTTGCAAAATTTTAGGACATTTTGGGAACATTTGAGGAACGATAATTTCGCTAGAGTTGTCCAAGAGACGAGGTTAATTCTGTTTGAGAAGCTTTTATTAGCTAAGGAGATTTACGGATCAGATGAATAGTAATTGATTTTTAATTTTTATTTTTATTAAGTAATTCAATAAAAAATTCGTACGCATAAATTAGATTCTTAAGTTTACTGAAAATCGTCCATATCCTGAAAAGAAATCGCAAAACCTCGCTAACAGTGTGTCACTGTAGTGAAGTGAAGCATGCAAAAATGTATGGACGCATTGAAACTAAAATGGTACCAATTTGTCCCTAACCCATAGTTGATTTTGGGGTACTTATTAATGAGTTGTTTTGTGACCAACAGAAAATAATTATAAAAAAATCATGAACGAAACATATGTGGCATCAGTGGCAAAAAATACTTTAATTTTATATAACAAGTCTCCTATTCAGATAATTTAAACATCTAAAAGTGTTTAACTTTTGTTAAATAATTAATAGATTAACTCCATTATTAAGTTACTGCATGCATGCTTAGATTATGTAAATATTTACTCTTCTAATTCACTACATATAAAGTCACAAATTATGTGTAACGAAATTCTAAAATTCGCATGTAAACAATTTAGGAATATTAATCAACCTAATTCGTGCGCACCAATCAATAGAATTATTAAATTCTTAATTTCTTTGGCTGATATACATACGTATGTATTTATGTATGTATGTATAATGTGTAATTATTTAAGGGAACGTATGCTAGTTGGTATTTACATGCACGTGTTTCTTGCCCATATCGGCATCTCACTGAGTTCTGGAGAAATTGCCACATGTGCACTTTTGCCCAACCTTTCATTTATTGACGTGGAATTACTTCAATATTGACACCCACACATGACCATCAATTGAACTGCACGCCGAACTTCCATATGTACATATGCTAACATAAATATGCAAAACGGATGGTAAATTTTAGTCAAATTGGCCACTATAATGTAACAACTTGGAATTATTGAGTGCCCCTTTCTAAACAAACATTAAACATTTTATGTCGTTATAATTGAATTAATCCTTTTAAGTTTAGTCAGCCCCGCCCCAAATTATGCAACCATTTAAAATTTTGTTGCGTAATAAATACATACGCTCTTAGAAATCTGGGAAAGTCACACATAAATAATTTCTAGTTTTTAAAATAGCTACGGCTCTATAGTAAAATTGCACCGATGCGTAAAAATCTTCTAGTTCTGAGATAAAACCTTGCCGCCGAAATCTTACTAGAATACCGTATTACTTTAGAAACATTACGTTGGTGAAGTAAGATATTTGGATTAGTGCTTGGTATTATTTTAAAACAAGATTTCTAAGAGTGTACTTGAAAAGCTTAACGTTTTATGCTTTTTACTATACAATTCATACAAATTCTTTCGTGGATAAGGTAGCCCCTCGTTATTTTAAACCAGAAGCTACCCGGATCCATGGAGGCGATTGATCTGTCCGGAACTGAGCTAATTTTCACAGGAGCGGTAAGAATGAGAATTATTACTACGTTTCCAATTAAACATTTTTATCAATTGCAAAGAACGAAGCTGGTTTTGAGGACATTGGGAACTTATCGATCACGTCCAAATCAAATAATTACAGCGCAGCGGTAAATTTAGTGTTGGAGTTGCAATTCATGATGAACTTTAAGTAAATATTTTCCTAAAAATTCCCATAATCTTACATTCCGTCCTTTATTTTCGAACTTTGTTATTATTTTTCAGGATAAAAATTATTCCAGCCTACGACTACTTCCCCGACTTTCCAGAAATATTTAATTTCACAAATTCGACCATAGCGTATCACTTAATTACTGGCAGAGCAGACATTGCGATCGGGAGTTTATACCACATTCTACCCCGTGCAAAGTTCGGGTGCCCAGTGATCACTTATCATACAGAAGGGTAACATTTGTGCTACACTCTTAAAAATAATGTTCCTCTTGTCGAAAAGTAAATGTCCTCTAAATTCAAAAATATGTACGTAAACTACTCTAACTCCCGAGCAAACTTCACTCTTTATCAGGGGATGTAACGTTACTCTTGATTTAGCATAAACACCTTACAGTAGAGGTCCCCCAACATATGCTCACAGATTTGGACCAAACTAACGTCAATCGATCACAAATATAATTAGTGTGAAATTCGCAAATAGCAATATCTGCCAATTCGAAGGTTTGGCGGAGATATTTGCATCCAACGAGGGAAAATTGAGCAGCAAATTTTGAAAATGAAAAATTTGCCAGCCTTCGGGGTGCCGGGTTTCTCCTCTTTTTATGCAAATATCTCCGCTAAACTTGAGCATTGGCAGATAGTGCTATTTACAAATTTCATACCAATTAAATTTGTGATCGATTGACACGAGCTTGGTCCAAATCTGTGAGACCTCCACTGTAAGAGTACATTTGTTTTTCAAAAGAGCAACATTATTTTCAGGAGAAAATTCCAGGAACTAATTTGACAACTTTTCGTAACTAGAATTCACGTCTTCTTCCAACAACCAACTAATATAATGGAACAGGGGGATGTATTTCAAAAACCGATAAAACTCGATCTCGCCGTGGGTATGGTCTTAACATTGTTTGGGATTGGAACGCTAGCGGAATTCTCAAAATGTCTCAAAGTTTCTGGGGTACATTGTATCCAATATTTACTGAAAGGATGGGAATGGGCAGTTGCAACGTTGTGCTCACAAGGTTGTATGTACAATTTATTAAAAAATGCAGTACTGTATTTTGAAAAGTTACGAATTTGCTTTTAAATTATCAGCTGTTCAAAATAAAAAATGGGTTGGCCGACGGGACTATGTCAAGATAATGCTCTTCTTGGGCATGATGTTATCCGTTTGGCTCAATGTGTACTACTCGGCCGCAATTTTGTCATATTTTACCAGAGAGGAAGAAATTATTCGCAAATTTGCAGACTTAGCACCAGCCGGCTTCAGTATTGATGCTTTTTACAGTGTCAAATCCACCTTTCCCAGAGAGTCGGAAAATGTAAGGTTTTATTTACTCTGCACTCTAATTACATAATTCTGAGACAAATCACGTCTGTAGTCCTTTGTACTTGCGTGACGATTAACGAGACGTTTTGTCACCAAGGGAAAATACCTAGTCAAAAAAATATTTACGTAACAGACGTGACGTCGTTACGTAAAAATTGATTTTCTTTTTATAATCCGAGTATACATTTATTTGTAAGTATTTTTTAACATAAAATTGTTGATTTTTTAAATAACGACGTCATGTTTGTTGAGTTTATGAGTTTTTGACTTATTTCTCACTGGTAACAAAACGTATGTATCCTGATTCATTACCCAAGAATATAGCATATGTAAACAGCCGCCTGCGACGATTTGTGTCCAAATTCTATTTGGTGTTTACTGCGTGCATTACCAAAAATTTTGATAAAATTACGGAATATATATTGGTATTGTGCACAGCAAACTAATTCTTACCCTATTGTCCTTTATTCAAATAGCACCCCTTGATACAATTTCTCGGCGTGGGCTATCGGACTTCCATCCAGTTAGTGTATGCAGGGAATCATGCCCACTTGGACAGTTCGGAATCATTTTTTAAATATTCGGCCAAAGTGGGAAAGTCAGTTGAGAAAATCTGCACCGTTTCTAGACTCCCATTTAATACGGGAAACCTTCGTGGCGGATTTTATTGCAGGTTTGGATTTCCGTATGCAGAAGAATTTGCTGTCGGGTATATACATGCATATTGCGGAGATTGCGAATTAAGAGCTTCTGCACTAAATTCTACCGTACTGTAACAGTAATACTGTCTCATTTACGCTAATGCCAAATTTAACGTTTGCGTGAAAATTTAGTTTAAAAACCTTAATTTGTAATCTCCCTAAATTTCATTAAAAGCAAGTTTTCAAATGGGTGAGACATTAAAATTACTGATTTTCACGTTTTTTTTGTTGGTAACCAGGATTCACAAACTTCGCGAAGCTGGGATAATTAAGAGATACTTGACAATAGAAAAAATAGCGGTAACCATTACCTGCACTGCAACCGTAAGGAAGAAGTATCACGATAACTTGGGCCTCAAAGAAGTTTGGATTTTGTACAAGTTTTACATTTCAGCCTCGCTTATCTCTTTGTTTTTTACCATAATAGAATTCCTATTCGTCCACTCTAAGAAATTTTATTACCGGATTTTCGCCAACCGGTGACTCTACCGCATAGTGTGACCATAAATACGCTATCCTTACGTCCCCGCCGATTTTTAAGAAATAAATTTTTAAAATGGAAAAATTGCAAGTTAACAGGGTAACTTTTACTCCACATCTTTGTCCAACAACCTACAAATACATACATATAATGGAACACCACTTTAAAGAAAGTTGTACAAAATTTCTGCAATCTTGTGTGAAATTTTGTCTAAGGTTGTGTAAACAGAGGATGACACAACCGTTGGTTAAATGTTACTCAACCAGCAGGTTGAGTAAAATCTTTTGCTTTGGTGAAAACGACATTTCGCACGCATGGCCTCCTGCCGTGAGTAAAAACACCCACGGTTAAAATTTTTGATCGCAACGATATGGGGCCATTCATATATTACGTCATCAAAAATTCTCAATTTTAGCACCCATCCAACCACCCAACGTAAACATTAAGAGATATGGGATTTTAATATGGGAAAGATAAGAACACCTAACCACCCAACCACTAAAATAATCACGTAATATATGGACGTTCCATATGGGGGATTTGACATGGCTGATAATGATTTAAGTCGATCTTACTCTTCATATCTTCACATATATGGAAATTGTTCGTGGAAACGAAGCACTGCTTAATAAAACAATGTTTATTTATAGAACACAGATGCCAACTATGGTACATGAACAGGAGAAATGTTTATGCAAAGTATAATAAAGCAGACTGGTAGTCAGAATTTCGTACCAACATATTTTTTTCCTCACTACTCCAGAAGAGCTCTTGTTTGCCAAAATTTACCAAATTAAATAATTCAATTCGGATATTAATTTAATATTACAAATCACTAAAAGCTTCATTTTTCAAATGGAACGCACGAAGAGGGATGAATCTCAAGTAAGTAATTGAAAAAGGGATGTTTTTATACTATTTACAATATTAAATTATTTAAATATGTACATTATCATTTTTGAAGGAAAGAGGTGATTTTTTGCCTTGTCGTGATGAAGACGACACAGAACACGGCCCATTCTCCTCTGGTCTTGTGGAAGATGTAAAACTACATACTTTTTATGTTCTAGTAGAAAAAAACTCAAACTTGTCTCTCGCCAGTGTTTCAATCAGGGTTACAAGTTATGTGAGGTTTAAGGGGCCGTTCATAAATTATGTAACGGAAAAATCGACTTTTTTCAGACCCCTCTGTCACATTAGTGTAGCGCAAGACCACTACCCCCTCCAGTTGTGTAACTTCTCGCAAACCTCATTTTCCCCAAAAAAGAAAGATTTAAAATGAAAGTGCGTATTGCCGAAATTTGTTTATTGATTAGGATTTGAATGACGTTCTGAATTAATTTCTATTATTTTAATTACAAATTTGGACAAAATCATAGCCAGCAGACTTGTGAATTATTAAGTGAAGTGTATAGATAGACTATAGATATTCCAAACGTCCATACTTTCATGCTGATCATGAATACATATTCAAAAAGTGATACACATATTTGACATTTTTTTGCAAATCGCTTATTGCAAAATTTCTAAAATCTAAATTTCATATTTTTGTTAATTCCGGCAAAATTTAAGTTTTTCAAAAATTAAAATTTTTCTTATTGAAAGAAATGGAGAAACTTTCCAGCAAATTAAATTACACAAATACAAAAAATTGCAAAAAATGCAAGATGCATTTTTCCATAAAACTGCAAGATACAATAAATTTGCAGTATGAAATTTGCAAGAAGTTTAAATGTGCAAAAGTTTGCAATTTTTTTTTGCAAATTTCAAATTCTTTTGGATTTTTGTAATTTGATCTGTTGGAAATTTTCTCATATCCAAAAATTACTGAAAGTATGACATTTGTATTTTTTTGTTCTCCTTATTCCCAGGTAATTCCTCATGTCTGCAAATTCCTCGGGCCCAAAGACATCAGACACTGCCGACTCGTCTGCAAGTCGTGGAATTACGGCGCTACTTCCGTCCTAAAGAACAAGACCATCATCATAATTCCACTTTACCCTAAAAAATGTCGATTAATCGATTCAGATGAGACCAAAGACAAACTGACATTCGCCCACACGTCTGTCTGTCTCGTAATTGGAGGTCATCAACCCATCGATCCCAAAATCTTTGACGAGATCACCAATCTAAAATCAATTGTTGTCCGTTCCTCTACAAAAAAACCGTTGGAAAAGGACTTGTTTCCCAAAATTATACTGAATTCGGCCTCCACTCTGAAACATTTAAAGTTTGGAGGTGGAGAAAGCTTAGAGTTCCCCTCATTTCGTGGCGTCGTTTTCCCAAAATTAGCCAATCTCGACCTACACCACTTCTGGGATGAGGGATCGCAAGATATCGAAAGAATTGGTCACGCCATCACGGAAGCGTTCCCAGCTTTACAACATCTCAGAATTGCCTACCGCTATATGCCTGGACTGTCATGGATGAAATTTTTGCCAAAGTTTCCGACGTAAGCCAAGTAGAAATTTTGGATTTTTACGTGAATTTTGCGAGAAATCACGGTGATTTGGCCAATTTTTGCCAGTGAAATTCTCGTGAAATTTACATGAGTGTAAAATTCACGTGATCACTGAAATTTCACTTGAATTTCACATGCATGAAAAAACCGTTCAAATCGGAGTGAAAATCACGTGAGAATCCGAAATTTCTGTTAACTAACTCTTAATTAACTAACTCTTAATTAACTTTTCAGATCACTAAATTCCTTGGAATTACACGAACTTTTAAACATCAATTATATGAATTGTCTGCTGGAATTTCCTCATCCTTTGAAGACCCTTAAATTTACTTCAACTTCGTTTCAAGATCGTGTCGACGATCTGCCATGGCTTTTCTACAAATTTTTGAAAAAACATTCCCCCACATTGGAAAAACTTTGTTTACAAATATCCACAAACAGGATGGATAACCTCAAGCTGAACTGGATTTTTCCAGCATTTCCGGTCATGCAAAACTTGACGATTTGTAACAGTGATATGTTTGCAAGCCTAAAATTTGAAATTAGCCTAGGAAATTTTGGACAGATTAATTACAAAATTTGTTTTCCAGTCTTGCGAGTTTTGCGAATTTGTAGGACTCACAGCATTCCCAACGTAGCTCATGATTTATCCTGTATGGCGGGATTTCTTCCGTTGCAAGGCGATAACGGATGTCCGGAGTCAGTGAAAGAAGTTGACCTCTACATTTTGGACGAAACATTGACCAGCGACCGCAATTTAGTGAAGGCCGACCTTAACGACCAATTGTTGAAAATATTTCCTAACGCGAAGGGATCAATCAAAGATGTGTGGGAATTAGTCGTTTGATAAATGTATCTAGATATATTCGCAAAGGAATGAGAGTTACATACTTAATTGATTAATTGTGCTAGATAATTAAATATGCAAATATTAGCTAAAAATAACTCATACTGTTACTCATAAATAAATACAGATTAGGTATACTTCTCTTGGCAAAATAAAATACGCCGATTTTATAACTCAATTCTGACCACTTGAATACAAATGAATGTTCATTTGTTGATAGATAAATTTTAAGAAACTATTAAAAATAATTCACTCATTATTCAAGATTCAGCATTCATCATACCCTTATGTTCTCAATGTGCCCCATGTATTTTATATAACTATGTATCCTATGGGAAAATTAAATGGGACCATGGAATGAAAATGGTCGTTTTAGGACAAGTGGTCATAACTTATCCTGAACGCTCTATCAATGATTCATGTAATTCCAGATATGTTCGATTAAATAATAAAACATGTCAATCTGTAGATACCGTGAAAAATCAAATAGTAGCCGCTGCTCTAATTGTGGCCGTATCTTCTCAATTTTGTAAATAGTGATCTTTCCCCTTATTCGGATATTTAATATTGGCATCTCCATTTCCGGTAATCATAGAACCCACACCTCTTGCCAGCGAATTCAGGTAATTCAGTTACAAGTTAACTAACTCGCAAGTAAACAATATTGAAGTGATGAGTCGATGACTAAGCATGCATTTTTTTAACTTATTAAAGAAGTCAATGAAGAGCTTACAGAACAGAATAAAAACAATAGTGTCCTATTGCACTATGATTCAAAGGGCAAAATTGGCGTTGTTATTACAGTTTATTAATTTTAGATTAGTTTAATTTTGGGAATACAAATTATAGTCGTACGCAAATTATAGGCGTCCTCTCTTCATAATTTTATGAATGGTAAGCTTGACATAATTGTAGCCTTGCCAAAATAATAGCCGGGCCTTAGCCACGGATTTTGTAAATAGTAGGCCTCGGCTTTTATTTAAGTTTCTACTTTAAATGTACAGTCCTAAGTGCGATTTCTACATATTTTATGTACCACGTTTGTAGATAGGTATGTATGTATATCAAAAACGGATGTATTTATATATGTAGATTCATATGTTTACTACTACATAATTACATATATAAAAGACGACGATATGAATTCAACTGCCTATATTTGAGTTTAATCAGAACTACAGAAACAAATAATTTAGATTTGTATCTAATGACCAATTTACAAAGGCTGAACACAAATTAAGGGAACAATACAATTTGAAAGCAATCAGATCCAAACCTACACAGAACATAATTTTGCATTTGTTCATGAGCCCCAATTCATTCAAATAAATAACCTGCATTCAATGGTATTTCGGCCAGATTGTGGATATCAAATTTTTCATATTTCGGCAATATTGAATTAAACTTTCTGCAATAAATGATAGCCCATAACATGGCAATAATTACTTCAATTGTTTTATAATGATTACGAACCAACATGAGGCCATACAGGTTTAAAATATTCACAACCTGGTTAAAATCATGGGATAATAGTTCTAAATTGGAATTTTCGATCATATTGTAATTCATATTTCCACTGTCATACAAGCTTTGTCCAAATAATTGCATTTTAACCACATGTGGATTGCTTTCAGGATTAGCGATAGATATTAGAAATATTAATGGTTAGTTCCAATCCGCCGCAGACCAGCGAAACTTTTTTGCGAAGCCAAAACATGCGAACGAGGTTAATCAAGGTTTCCAAATCAGACCAGTATCCTCTTATCGTTCTTTCTTCACCTTCCATCGCACCAATTCCAGGAGATATAGATTCAGAATCCCCTCAAAAACTTAAAGTATGTATCTCTTGACCACAACTCAAAAGAAGCTATGGAACCTTTCTTACAAAAATTACGTCCCGTTGGTACTATTTCATTCTAAAATTTGTCTGATCATGAACCAATTCACCTTCATTATACAAAACCAAAAATATAAATCTTACAAATCCGGCTCCATCTTATTCTTATTCCCAATTTTTGCCATGGCCACAACTGTTTTGCATTTAGCTCTGTGTCTTAACTGGTTTAGAATTCAATGGTTCAACCGGTCCGGTTCCATTGACAACTGGAAATTTATTTTCATGACGTACTGCGTGATACTTTTTGCTTCAATAGCATTTGGAATTTATCACATCATCCGGGTGCAAAGAGAATGCATGATTATGCTAAATTCGTCAATTCTGATAGAATATAAAGCTCAAAGAAGCACTGGTAACTAAATATTTTTTAACCGTTAAGAAATTCTATTTGCTAATTAACTTTTTCAAGTAATTGCGCGTATATACTACAGGGGGAGCCACCAAAGTAACATTGTATTTTGTATTATTTGTGGCAATTGCAACAGCTTCTGTAGTTGTAGGTCCAATTGTCATATTTATTTTGAGTCTGGTTCAACCCTGTATGCCGCCCCTGATAAGTAGCCTGATTTTGGCGTCTTGTCAAACTTGGGGAGATGTTAGCGGGCCAGGATTTCTTTTCAGGATCGTTATTGGCTTCTTTGAATGGTACACATGGACAATTATTATGGGGATTGTATCTTTCGCAGTTATGATTCTGCTCTTGTATCCTGTGGAAATAAAGTTGTTGTTCATTGCCATGATGGAGAGGTATTTACTTCGTTTAATTACTACTAATCTCTTGACATGTACATTAAGTGGTACTTATTCAATTTATATTACAGAAATCGAAAAAATAGCAGATACATCAATTTAATACAGTATAGGACTTTACAATTGTTATCAAGTTTCCATAATTTTGTCTTTTCCTACCCAAGCATGGCTATACTGGCAGGTGTGATAACACTTTGCGAGAGTATCTCCTTGTACTTAGTAATTAGCTGGACCAAAGGTGTTCCATTGCCAGTCCTTATTCTATTCTCGATTATTGCATTCGATTTCTTCCTCGTGATTCATGGAATTTTTAAAATTGTGTCGTATCCATACATCAAATCCCTTGGTTTCATAGACCTCGTCAAAGATGGAAGATATACGACAGCAGATTTGTGTTTTATTAAGTCGTGTCCTCCATCAAAATTATCTTTGGGTGATGGCGGATTTTTTGATAAGTTGACATCTTTTGTTATCTGGAAGAAATGTATTGATTACCTTATCACGTTTTTACTCATGTAAAATTCTTTGCACGTACTTATAAAACTATATCATCGATTTATACTAGGGACAGTTTTGCCTCGATCTGAGGATGGAATCTAAAAGGTCTCCCTTCCTTAGTACGTTTATGTAGTATTTTATTGTTGTGTCCTTAGCAAAAAAATTTCGTATTTTGTATTTACGAGTTAACAACGGTATATTTTAGTGAAATATATATGCATACGTATATATGTATGTAGTTTTCACAAGTATATATGAGAATTTCGAACAAATTGTTACGAATTTGATAAAATTTACTTGTAATTACTTACCTACAATATGTTCTTTTAAGCTAATTATTCCGGGGAGATTTTTAGTCGAAGTCACAATCGACCAGGAATGATTCTAGGGCCAAACTTCTCTCAGTATGCACAGGAAATAAGTGAAACCGAAGTGTAGAAAACACTACCTTAGACGCGGTCCATAAATTACGTAACGCAAGATGGGTTTCTAAGCCTCCAGTGATATCGTTCCTAGGTTACACATATAAAAGGGGGGTCTACATAGAAAATCGGGATGTTTGCGCTACGTAATTTATGGACGGCCCCTTACTGTCAATATTGACTTAACCAGTTCTTAACCTAATAAAGGCAAAATAATTATATAATCAACTTAATTAAAGAATATTGACAACACCCATTAAATACACAGAATATTATTTCATCATTGTTTACCCTTAATTTAGCAAATTGCTTGAAACAAGATAATGGTTCCCAAAAAATTAATATTGGGTATAAAAACCTCCAAGGAAGAACTATACATCGAAACCGGACATCTCGTTCCAAATTTCTTATCTTATCAGATTGCTTGAAGCCTAAATATGGAAAATAAATTGGTTGTCCCAATTCGTCCCAAAAATATTTCGAAAATTTCTCTCCTTCATGGGGCTCGAATTCCTTTTAGAATTTTACAATTCTGTGGTTTCTTTCCCCTCACCGTGCCCCCAAAATCAAACCAAGTTATTCACACCTCCTGGTACAAATCGTACCCCACGGGTTGGCTTCTCGCCATAATTTTCAGTGTTTTTGTACCCTTTATAGTTATCGCAATTTACGGTGACGATGGTGACAAGCCGGCCGTTCTCAATTTGCAGAATCAAGGGCGAAACACGTTTTTGATAATAAACATAGCGTGGGGATTATGCAGTGTGGTTGCCCCGTTAATCGTGCGTTTCCACTGTTTAGCCACTAGAGGGTGTTTTGTCGAATTTTGGCGAAATTTTGTTAAACTAGTCGAAAAATTTGAAGCCTTGGATAATTATGAGAAACAAATCGTCCAACAATTGAACTATTCCCGGGCAAAGTTTATTACCCACTTGGTCGCACAATTAGGAATTTATTTACTGGAAAGTGTACTGTATGGACCTTCCGTTCTCGGAGTGTTGGATGGCGTCGGCTTGCTAAGTTCGGTTCAGGATTGGACCTTTTCGCTTAACAGAATTCTGACCTTGTTTTGGTTTCACGGATTAATTTTCTTCTTATCAAGCTACAACTTTATTGCTGGAAAAATATTAGCGAAATTGGAGACGGAGCGGGAATGTCGAAAGTCAAAAATGAAACTGGAAGAATTGGTAGACTCGTACATCGCGCTGGACCACAATGTGTCGCAATTTAATAAAGTTTACGGTCCAGTTTTTGCTGTTTTTGTGATTTATTCCTTGGTTTATTTGCTGTTTTGCACCTATGTCGTTTATGTCTCGGTTAGAATGCGTGAGTTTTTTGTGATTGGTTTGTCAATTTTGGAGCTATTGGTTTTCACCGGATATTTTTACTGGTTGGCGGATTGTGCGAGTGGGTTGGAAGAAAATAGCAAAACGTTTTGCAAGTTGGTCAAGTATTCCAGTTTCGAGGGTCGAAATAAAGATGGTGGGAAGGATCTTCAAATTGTTCTGGAACATATTAAGGTAGATATTGCGGTGCATCGAAGTCAACCGGATGGATTTGATTTGAATTTCGGCCCGCCTCCAATGTTAATCAAATGGGCACGTGATTTTGGCGCGTAGAAATTCTGTCCGGTTGACTTCGATCCATCGCAATAGTCGACGATATAATAAAATGTTTAGATTGGGACATACATGTTATTGTTCATTCAATATTCAAAATTTGAATGAGTAAATATTGGATGAATATTTTATTCTGATTTTTGAATAAATGAATATAGAGTAAATATCTATTCAATAATTCAATTCGTGTGAATTAATAATGAATGAATATTTTTTCCATCATTCATTTTTTACCCAATGCTAAATACATAGGGAAAGTCGAGAAAGTCAACTTCGAATTTTTAATAAAATGAATAATGAAGGAATGGTGAATAATGAATAAATGTTGAATAATTAATTTTTTTTTTAGAAATTGCGAATGAGTGAATAAGGAATGAATAATTTTTTCATCATTAATTTTTAACTGTAATATATAAGAAAAGTTGAGAAACTCATCTAATACTGTGAATTTTGTATAAAAAGAATAATGAATAAATGCTGAATAATTAATGAATATTTTTTTACAAATGGTGAATGAGTGAATGCGGAATGAATATTTTTTTCAAGGCTTTGAATAAATGAATTTTGAATGAATAAATATTATTTGAACATGTATGGATTGGGACCATAATTGAAAATACCATTTTTTCATTATGTAGCTCTATCAGTCCCTCGTTTCATTGCAGCCGATATCAATACGAAATTCAGTTTTGGATTTGAATTTACGGCTTCTGGTTTCGGTGAGGTTATAAATAAAATATTTTGCGAAGAAATAAAACAAATAAAGAGGTTCCTAATTTTTAAACTTTAATTTACAGATGGTAGCGGCAATGACGACATATTTGGTGGTGATTGTACAATTTCAAGTTGGAGATACTTCATAATATTTTGCCTATTTAATTTTGTTCAATCATTTAGAAAATGTCTATTTTTGAGCGTCAATGTAATCCACCTTAATTTTGTGTTGAAACAATTTATTCAAAATAAAAAGTATCTCACCTGCAAAAGCAACAAATTAAGCAGTAAATACAATTCCTGGAAACAAAAAATTGTTGGCGTTGAGTTAGTACGGCTATACATGCTACTGCTAGTGAGGCTCTTAGAGTGAAAAGTTTGGAGACCACATGGTAGTATTAATTTTGTGACGTCACCGGCCCAAAAATTTGTTTTCATAAAATGTTGCAAAATTAAAGACTGATATGAATATAGGTAAGGAAAATTGTTTTTGTACGCCAAAATAAAAATAAGAGGTATTAAATAATAAAATAGGTCGGATAAGTCGGCTGATCCGGCTAATGTAATCCGAAATAGCCGCGGCCCTTAAGTGGTGACCCAGAGGTCACAGGACGCTAAAAGCAATTTTCCTTACCTACATATATTCATGTCTTTAATTTTGCAACATTTTTAGAAAAACAAATTTTTGGACCGGTGACGTCGCAAAATTAATACTACCATGTGGTCTCCAAACTTTTAGCTCTAAGAGCCTCACTAGCAGTATGTACTAGGTGCTAATTTTTGTACTACATCTCAATTAAAGTGTTATCTCACCAATTGTACGATATATCACTGTGCGAATGTTGAGCGAAGACTTATGACGGGCAGTGTACAATGATTAATAATATGAATTATCGGGACACTCTTTGTCATAAAACTTCGAGGGAACTTGAGCCGAGGCAAAGTCTGGGTGAATATTCTTATCCCTTAAGTGACGAACGAAATCATCATTATCTGCGAATATGACATTAGGTTGGCATACTTGACACACAAAGTTTGGCTTAACATAGGACGACTCCAGCGCTGCAAAAAGAAGTTCATAGACTTTAAAAAAACTGGTATTAAATCGTTACCATAACCATACGTCGGATATGAATGAAAAATGACTTTTTCCATTTACTGACTTACAGTGGTCAAACTTTCTGAGAATGTTTATGGTCACTAGTAGGTCACGTAGGTCAAAGCATATTTTCTCATATTTGACATATTTTCGGGTTTTGGGGCATATTCATATTCCCGATCATATTTCCGGCTTTTTTCGTTCATTTTATCATTTTTGGCCAAATTAGAAGATTTGGCAACCAAATCGACAGAAAATGGCAAAAGAATCAGTTTTCTCAAAATGATTCATTGTGAGAAACTTGCAGAAATTTACTTTCGCTTTGGCCTAAGGTGATTTAATTCATTGGGAATGAACTAAATCACCCCAGAACTTGTTTAATTGATGAAAATTGAGCATTATAGGAAAATATATAAACAAATTAAGCCAAAAATTTAAAAAATAAAGTCATTTTTATGGTCATATTTTGAGGATTTTTAGTCATTTTTCATTCATATTTTGAGGTTTTATCGGTTATTCATATCCGACGTCTGACCATAACTGACCGGAGTACATACATATGTAACTTTCGCAGATTTTTAGCATCGTATTAAGCCTTACCCTCACGCGAAGAGGAGAATTTCGGAGCAGGAGTATTCTCCTAGTTTCATCCTTCTCTCTCGCTTTGCAGAATACATGGAATCACACATCTCGGAACTTCGCATCGACCCTGTGGGGGGGAGGAGTCGACCTCAGGGAAATGCATCCTCCGGTGTTTAGAATTTGGTTTTCTGCGTCTGATGGTATTTTTTTCAAATTTTTTGGACTGGCGCAAGGTACACTTATGCCCCTTACCATCAAGTGATGTAACCTTATGTAGACTGGTAAGGGGCATAAGAGTACCTTGCCCCAGTCCAAACAATTTGAAAAAATACCATCAGACGCAGAAAACCAAATTATAAACACCGGAGGATGCATTTCCCTGAGATCGACTCCTCCCCCCCCCCCCACAGGGTCGATGCGAAGGTCCGAGATGTGTGATTCCATGTATTCTGCAAAGCCAGAGAGAAGGATGAGACTAGGAGAATACTCCTGCTCCGAAATTCTCCTCTTCGCGTGAGGGTAAGCCTTAATACACTCTAAGAAACCCGGTAAGTAAGTTATTATCAGGCGGAGTATTTATGTGACTCTACCGCATGGTAATTTATTTATTATTGAGTGGTAGACATTTTATTACCAAACCGGTAATAACACCGGTCGCGAAATTTGAAAGTATTACCAGTTGGTAACTAACTTTCCACCACTCAATAATAAATTAATTACAATGCGGTAGAGTCACATAGATACTCCGCCTGGTAATAACTTAGTTACGGGGTTTCTTAGAGTGTAGTAAAGTAAACCTCACCCAAAATCTCAGCCTCGGAAATGTCCGGATGTATTTTCTTGTTCCTCAGGTGACGATCAAAATAATAAAATACGTTGAAATTCATTTTACATAGTTTGCACACCCATTCCTTTCGTACTTTACGAGTTGATATGTCTAAAAAACAAATGAGACATAAATTTCAGTGATCTATCTATATATATCAAGGATTTTTAATTGTTATGTAATATAAAAGAACGAACGGTAAAAATCAGCATGAGGAATCTCGGGATGAATCTTTTTGTTGCTCAGATGTCGCATGAGACTCCTTTTTGTGACGAATTTCACGTTACATATTTTGCATACACATTTGTCTTCTGAATCAGCGTCGTATTCTGGCCTTCCAGGATCGTAGAGAGGATCAGAAGTGGTGTTGTGACGGTCATCGTCGTCCTCGTCGTCGTCCGTGGGCTCTACTTTTATGAAGAATTCTTCCTCCTCAACAAATCCAGTTAATTGTTGAGCATCGTCATTGTTGGAAACGTGGTCAGCGGGACAGCCACCGATGTCATTTGAAAATTCTACATTAAGTGAGATAAAGACAGACATAATTTAACGATTGAGTTGAATTTAAGACGATGATGAATCGAGTAGGGGCCATCCATAAATTACGTAACGCAAGAAAGGGATCTCAGGCTCCAATGATATCGTGCCTATATTACACATGTTAAAGGGGGGAGGGGGTCTAGAAAATCGCGATTTTTGCGTTACGTAATTTATGGACGCCCCCGTAGATTAATTGTTATTTACCACTAATTTTGCCCTCATTTTTCACTTTGTTGAATAGCCCGTTCCTCCTGGAAATGACGGCACGTAGAGAAATCGTAATATTTTCAATTTGCGTGGATAACTTGGCCAACGAGAGGATCGCAGAGGAGCAAATTTTACAACAAAATATTGGAGGATGATCTTCAAAAAGAGAAACCTGCTCCTGATTTAGGACGAATTTGGCAAGAATTTCCATTTGTTGGACGGTAATTGTACTTAGACTTGTGGATTCGGAGCAGATCGAACAGAAGAACGATGATAATTCTGGGGATAAATTATTGTCCTCAATTTGCGGGGGAAAGAGGTCCCCAAAATTTGACCGGGTCAGACGGACCGTGGACGAAAGTAAATCTTGCAAAATGTGTCCTGTTCCATTTCGCTTGGATTTGAAAATGCCGTCTTTCGCCATTTTATGCATGGGCCTAAAAAGTAAAACTTCTTGTACAATTTTATATTTTCTTCGGTGTAATAAATACAGACAGGTTTCTGTAAAGAAAGTAAGCTTTAAAATTTACTTTTGCATTGGAATTATCTATTCCAATTTATGCATGTATTGTATGGAATTATTAGAAGATCGTGCCAATTAAGTATTTGAATTGAGTCAATTTAAATTTTTACAAGAAGGTTAAACAAAATTAAATTGTTACCGGTTTCATAAGAAGATTTATTTTGTTTTTGTCTGTCAGCTGCTGATGCGTTGTTTCGAGGGCTATGGGCATAAAGCTACCCCGCATCGCGCATCTAGCTATCCACAGCTGCACAGTTGACAGTGAGTTATTTCACGAAAAAATACGAATCAATTATTTTAAGGTTTAAAATAGACCCATGTGGGTGGGGGAGCATAAAAATATGGGTTATTGTGGTTTTTGAAAGGGGGTGTGGTGTCTGGGGGGGTTTTTTATGAAATTTCAAAAAAGTCTCAAATTTCCTCCAAAACCACACCCACTTTGAAGAGAATTTAGTGCTGATTAAAAAAAGCTATTATACATGCCCCTAGCTCCTATCATTCTCACGGGAAAAAATTAAACCTGGCGAAGAAACGGGATTTTTGTCCAAAATGACAATTTCGACGATTTAAAATGGCTGGCAAATTCTTAAATCGAAAAAGTAGCAGCCAATGACCTATACGCTATAAACTGCCCATATAGGTGTACCTAATGACGCAACGTTTGGCTTTCGGGGGGGTGGCCATTTTAGGAAATCATCATGCAAAGTTGGGCAAAATTAAGGTTGGCGAATAAATGATGTTTACACGAAATATGAAAAGGGGCAAAGTGAGAAAAAGTCTTAGAATTGTCTGAAACGTAAAAATCCGAGAAATCTCACATTGCCCCAAAAATCTCACTTTACCCCAGGTTCGGATTTTTACGTTTCAGACAATTCTAAGACTTTTTCTCACTGTGCCCCTTTTCATGTAGGTCATTGGCTGCTACTTTTTCGATTTAAGAATTTGCCAGCCATTTTAAATCGTCGAAATTGTCATTTTGGACAAAAATCCCGTTTCTTCGCCAGGTTTAATTTTTTCCCGTGAGAATGATAGGAGCTAGGGGCATCCCCCCCACACACCACACCCCCTTTCAAAAACCACAATAACCCATATTTTTATGCTCCCCCACCCACATGGGTCTATTTTAAACCCTAAAATAATTGATTCGTATTTTTTGTGAAATAACTCACTGTGAAACCTCCTCCAAATTGATGGTGGTTGGTGTGGGGTAAACTTAGATTTCTGGGGCAGAGTGCGAATTTGACCTGCGCGAAGCGCTGAAAGGGTAAAATCGTTCAAAAACTCCCAAGAAGTGTGGCCAGTGGAAAACTGAGATTTTCAACTGAGGCGTCACAAAAAAATAACTACTAGTACTTCTGTATTTACCCCTAGGGGCCATTCATACATTATGTAACGCGAGAAGGGGTCCCACCACGAAAATTGGAAAATTGCAGAAAAAAGATGCACACTCACTTCCACCACTGTAAATTGGAAAATTGCAGAAAAGACGCACGATCACTCCCACCACGGAAAATTGGAAAATTGCAGAAAAAATATGCACGATCACTTCCACCACTGTAAATTGGCAAACTGCAGCAAAGACGCACGATCACCCCCACCACTGAAAATTGGATAATTGCAGAAAACGACGCTCGATCACTCTCACATAGGAACGGACGCATTCGAATCTACTCTTTATGTACCTATTTTCTCATCATTCAACTTCCTGGACGCTGGGCCGCGTCCCAATTTGCATGGAGTTGAAAAGTGCAACTTTTGACATAATAGGTGAACCTCATCAGTATTCACTCCACTCATCTTTCTTCTCATTAATCATGATCGCCTCAGGGCATGAAGCGATTAATGTCACATCTCTCACAAGTCATCCCATATCCCACTTTCTAAGACTTGTCTATCGGACCGACGGACCAATAACGATATAGCTTGTAGGTATTCTTATAGGTACATGTTTACTATATAAAGAGGCAACAGCCGCAGTACAAGGGGTTGTCGTTTGTAGGACAAGTTCTTGACTGCTGCTGCTGGCCTGCCGCAATAACATTATAATTGTGTGCGAACAAGAGAATAAAAGTCGATCTGTTAATTATCAACCTACCTCTCAAGTCGAGACGATTCATTCCGCATCTCCTCCTCTCCTCATCTCATCTCTAAGTGACCCAGCTTCCTGGCCATTGTGGGGTCATCGAAAGGGCTAAATTACATTTAGCACATTTCACAATAAGTCGATGCTTATCCAAAGGTACCTACATTCGTATGCACATCTATATCATACTATAAATACACCGCTTATACAAAGTGCATACCAATAATTCATGATAAACTATACTCTTAATGTTACTTGGTAACAAAACCCCAAATGTCGTTAACACCAACCGTCGGTGCCAAGCTCATTCACATTAAATTGTGTCAAACTGTTTTGTAAAAATGACACTGAGGAAAAAAAATGTTTCGACACTCCACCAGTAACATAGACACGCCTACAATGATTCACAACATACACGTCAACATTTTGGAGAGCTGAAAGTACGCTATTTGATTGTGTGCATTAATTACTCTCATTCATTCACGCATAACCAGCAATGTTTTTAAGAATATGTACCTGACCCAAAACATGGGTTAAGGAACTAATATGTATAAACTGGAAAAATGTGGATGCCAAATTGTGAACAAAAAAATCGAAAAGACGTAGACAGTCGTAAACAAAAAGTAAACAAAAAGTACTAGTAGACAGTTGCAGACAAAAAGATATATTACAAAATAAACTAACATTTAGACTATACGGACTGGAGGAAGTGTGGATACAACAAATCTCGAAAATTGATTTTTCCGAGATAATAAAAATCTACATAAATATTATATCGACACCCAAGGGCTAACTAACTCAATGTAAAAATTCCGCCCGCGAATAAATTCGATATACACGGAACAAAATTATACACGTTATCGTACAATCAACCGCGAACAGTAATTCGACCCAGGCTTCGGTACTGACATGCTCGGGACTGTTCTTCTCATCCGGATTTGGAACCTTGTCTAATTGGAACCCCATCTCGATCCAGCTTAACTTGCTCAAAGTGGAATCACCGCACTTAACGTGCATATCACACTGCCGATCCTGGCATCGACCCTCCAAGGATTTGAATATCATCCTAAATCGATTGAATTTTCAGGTTTAGGAGTGATGAAACGAAACGGTTCAAGCCCCTAGAAAGTTTGGTGGTATGTAAATACGTGAGCATTTCGAAATGGACGTGGTGGAGTAGTTACGTACGTTTACCCATTTTATATTGTGTATATTTCTGTAAGGTAATAGACCTTGAAATGTTTGAAATTATTAATAAAGTAGAAAATGTATGTAATTCAATAATTCAATATTTTGCTGGAATGGGAATTTTTACCTTTGACAAATTCTTCCATTGTAGCGTGACTGCAACGTTTAAACCATTTTTTAATTTAATAACGAAATTCGACATCTACAAAATTTCCAAAATTAAACAAAATGTTGAATGAGTTACATAATACAGAAATCTGAATACCTGCATATTTAATTCAAAAACATTTCTTAAAGCAGAAAATTTTCGAAATCTGAATTTTCGAAATAAACGAATCAATTATGTCAAGCGTAACTTAGGTTTTAGGCAATAATATCTAGATAATGTTTTTCGTACCTTGACCCCTTTTTCATTTACCATTAGGTGGATCAATTCCGTGCTCCCATACGACGACTAATCTCGCATCTGTCCACTCCTGCAGCAGCACAAAGTTAAGGATCAAATCTTTTCCGATCAGTTTTGTCGCTACCCGATCTACACTGATTGTGACGTTGGTGGCGGAATATCGGGCGGGCGGGGAGCTTGGGGCGTATGCATGCCAACGTGACGCATACCACGTGGTGCCCTCACTCCTAATTTCGGTTCGGTCGAACAGAGGCAGACTGCTGACAACGTATGTTGCAAGGACCACGGGTAGGACACATTCGAGGATTTTGCGATAAATATTTACTTCCTCCGTCTTAAGGGGAGGGGGTTGAAGAGAAGTCTCAGACACTATGGCAGACATTTTGAAAATTTTGCGGGACAATGGGATTTAATTACTAAGCGTGTCGTAAATTTGAATTTATTTTATAAGCAAGCAGATTTTGTTTTTTTTTTACTTTGAATTTTATTTGTGTAAGTGGTTTGGAAATTTAAAGGTTTTGTATTAAGCTAAATGTATGTATCTACACTTTTAGATACATAAACACCCGCCATCCACGCAGGATTGAACTTTTACAGAAATTGAGAATTATAAGAAACTACGCCACTGCAAGTCGCAATGTTCCCTATCAGCATTGTATGAGGAAAATTAAGGCTGGCAGAGGCGTCGTTTCTTATAATTCTCAATTTCTGTACAATTTCAATCCTGCGTGGATGGAGGGTATTCATGTACGCAAAGGTGCAGATTCATTTTACACAATTGGCCCCTTTTAAAAGTCGGATTTAGAATTTGTTTTACTTTCAAGATTGAAATTTCTTAAAATTATTCAGTAAAATTTCTGTATTTTGTAACCCAATTTTCAATCCTCCGGGGATGAAGATTAGCTACGTTTATCGTACGTTGACCCAACAAAAGGTTGCACTTACCACTGCTCGATCCAATCCCGTCCTCTGGTACGACAAATCTGAGAATCTATGTTATATGTGTTATTTCACTCTGTTTCTCTCTTTCTGTTCTGCATTCTTTCACAATCTCCCTCTCTTCTGTGTGCTGTGTCACTCTCTCTCTGTCTGTTCTGTGCTTCCTTTCACTTTCTCTGTCTGCTGTGCTTGCTTTCGTGATTGGTTTCTCTCTATTTTGTGCCTGTCTCTCTCTCTCGTGCTAGCTTCGTATAGTGGAAGACATCCGTGGTGATGTGTTCCAGGGTCACCCTTGAGGCGAGATAGTAAGGGAATGGTTCTGCCCGTCTCCCCCCGATTGTGGGGAATGCTTATCAACATTGAGATTGGCTATGTGGTCGAAATTTTCGACTACGGCGTGGTTTCGACAGCTCCCCCGCTCTTAAATGCATATCTTTCTCTCTGGTGTGTGTGTGTGTCTCTCTCTCTGTATATATACAAATATCTCCATGAAATTGGGTCTCTTATCTCTCCCCATTAAATTTGATCGCGCTACCATTACCACGCCACTTTCCTCGTTAAAATGGGTAGCCATTTACGCACTTGTGTTTCCAGGTCGTGCACATTATTGGAAACCTATCAGTACAGCTCTGCTTGGCCCGAACCAGGATTGATTAGTAAACCCATTTTCGACTCCTCACTAAATTTTAGCAAATTGAATGAGTGAATGATATCATTGATAATATATGACTTAGTTAGTCTGTCCGTCCGTCCGTCCGTCCGTCCGCCCGTCCGCACGATAACAGGGGAACGGATCGAGATAATCGAAATCGGTTTTCGCCATCATACGTATGACCCTAGGGGGAGGATCCCCTAAGCTTTTGGGGGCAGCCGGACCACACCACCCGGGCGCCAGTGGGTGTGGTTGGGGCAAAATGAGATTTTTACAAAAATTGAATCTATGGATGAAGGGCAGTTAAATTAAGTGTTCCCAAGTTGTGCCACACCCCCTCGCGCCCAGTGGGTGTGGTTGGGGCGCAGTGGGTGTGGTTGGGGCAAAATGAGATTTAAAAAAAAATTGAATCTATGGATGAAGGGCAGTTAAATTAAGTGTTCCCAAGTTGCGCCACACCCCCTGTCACCCAGGGGGTGTGGTTGGGGCAAAATGAGATTTTTATAAAAATTGAATCTATTGACGATGAAGAGTTGAATTAAGTGTTCCCGAGTTGTGGCGCACCCCCCGGGCGCCAGTGGGTGTGGTTGGGGCAAAATGAGATTTTTACAAAAATTGAATCTATGGATGAAGGGCAGTTAAATTAAGTGTTCCCAAGTTGTGCCACACCCCCTCGCGCCCAGTGGGTGTGGTTGGGGCGCAGTGGGTGTGGTTGGGGCAAAATGAGATTTAAAAAAAAATTGAATCTATGGATGAAGGGCAGTTAAATTAAGTGTTCCCAAGTTGTGCCACACCCCCTCGAGCCCAGTAGGTGTGGTTGGGGCAAAATGAGATTTTTACAAAAATTGAATCTATAGATGAAAGGCAGTTAAATTAAGTGTTCCCAAGTTGCGCCACACCCCCTGTCACCCAGGGGGTGTGGTTGGGGCAAAATGAGATTTTTATAAAAATTGAATCTATTGACGATGAAGAGTTGAATTAAGTGTTCCCGAGTTGTGGCGCACCCCCCGGGCGCCAGTGGGTGTGGTTGGGGGAAAATGAGATTTTTAGAAAAATTGAATCTATGGACGAAGTAGAGTTAAATTAAGTGTCTCCGAGTTGGGCCACACCCCCCGGGCGCCAGTGGGTGTGGTTGGGGCAAAATGAGATTTTCATAAAAAATGAATCTAACATGTTGGACAAGTAAAACAGCAAGATTGATTAATTAATTAATTAAGATTGATAAAACAGTAAAACATGTAAGATGCATGATTTTTCATAGTGGCTACATATAAATGAGGGAGTTTTAATTATTTAATTATTTTGAAATAATTCAGATTCTGCGATCTATATTTTGTATCGCATTATCAGCATTATTGCGCTACTTGTGTACCCTGCGTTGCCGCAGTTTATTCGTTCTTAATTCGCAAAATGTTCCCCTCGCGTTATCATTGGGGATATTGAAGTGCTTGGTTGTCTTTATTGATGTTTATCGTGTTTGGAAAAGGGAGACAATTTGTTCCCTGTGCGAGGGAGTTGTGAGACGTTCTGTTGGGTCGTTTTCTGGTTTCAGAATATCGCGGACACGGTATTGGTTGCGGAGAGTATGGTAATTTTTAAATCATAATTATTGTTATTGCAATAATTTTATACATTCTATTTTAAATAACTATTTCATAGGTGAGCTTCCTGTACGTGTGCTTGCGTGGTTGGAAGATCCTGGATTGAATATCTCCAATTTCATGTCAAATTTAACCTTTCTGCTAAAATCAATAATTTTTCAGATCAATTTTCAATTTTTTTTACATATATAATAACAATGTATGAATATGTACATATGTATGTATTTTGTTTTTACCAATAATCCTTGCTTAAAGCTACTCCAACAACTACCCCATTGACCACGGAACAGACAACGACCATGTCGGCGACAATACCATCTTCGGAACAGACAACAACCATTTCTCTAATAACCATGTTTTCGGAAACGACCCCAATGTCGCCGGGGACCTCCCCAATCAGCCCGGTTCATGAAGTCAGCGATGAGATTTACTCGTCCCACTCGTCACTGAAAACATAGAGCAGGGCCCCAACTGACCGGAGTCAACGGAACAAGTGAGGACGTCCAGGTGGGAGTGGTGTAGTGATGGGTATGGTGCAGAAATTCTGACCTGTTTTGGCACGTGGTTGACCTTAATAATTTACAGGGAAAAAATATTAGCAATTGAGACATAAATTCCGTTTTTTAGGTGAATACACTTCAAACGAGGATTTGTTTATTATTAAATGGTTGAACAAGATTTTTCTTGAAAATTTGAAATAATAATTGGAGTGCACTAAATATAAAAGTTTATGATAAGAAATCTTAAAGTAAAATTTACAATAATAATTAGTTATAATTTGTGAATTTTGAAAAATTTACGTTATAATATTTGAAGGAAATAAAGATAGTGAGTATAACATTTGATAGTTATCGTTGAAAAATCGGAGGGATCATGATAAACTTTTGTGCGTGGATTAATTGGGAAAATTTTATTGAAAAAAATTGTGGCAATTTTCATAACATAATTTTTACTGTGTTATAATTATACTGCATTGTTTGTAAATTGTAAGTCTTACTGAGGCTTTGTAGCTAAATTCCTCTGCACTTTGTTTCGATCCAGGGTTTCCATATTTGGCCATTTGGCACCACCACCAAGATTTGCATTTTAAATATGAAAATTGCTACGTGAGGGAGAAAATCTGTGTCAATTTGACACCAAACCGGTAGAGTCATATATATATGTAGACAATGAAGTCAATTTGGTGTCGATTTTTCTGTGAGTGTATACATCATGGTGTCCATATACTATTTACATACCTCCGAACGACGAAGTACACACATTTGTGTAATAATTTTATTTTCTGTTGACGAAATACACAAATGTGTGTAAATTTCATTGACAACAAATTTATTTAAAAAAATTATATTCCTTCGGTATTTTGTGGAAAACTCGATGATGGAAAGTGGATTTTGTTTTAGATATTTGTCTTCACAAATTTTGTAATTTTCCGTATACCGACCAATGTTAAAAAGTGGATTTCTTGTGATTTTCGTCAAAAAATTCGAAAATTGGAAACTCGTTAAAAATATTAATTCGTTGCAGAGGTCGACGCCGACAAATTTTCGGCGGCGGCGGCGCCAGTTTTTGGTGATTTTTCGGCGGCGTCGGCGGCGCGGCGCGGCGTAGCAATGTTAAAGGAATAGGAAATTAAATTTTTCAACGGCGGCGGCGCGGGAAGATCGTCGGCGTATGGCGGCACGGCGGCGTGAGATCGGCGGCGTCGACCTCTGATTCGTTGCTATCAGGTGTAATTATGCAATCAATATGGAACTGGAGGGCAATTTTATTTAAAAAATTAGTAGTAAGAAAGAACTTAATAATACGCTATTCAAAGCAAGCCAATTTATTATTAAAATTTCAATGATCTGGTTGGGTGGTTTTATATTTTCGTAATAAAAAAATTACACTCATTAAACATTTCATGATTTGATAAATTACTAATTTTTGTTGGGGGAAATTACATTTTCGTAGGGATGAATCAACTGAATCATTTGCTGAATACGGACTTAAATAATTTATTTAGAGTACAAGCTCTAACTGAATTAATCTGGATCTTATCTATGGGCCAATAAGTTATGTATGGTAAAGATCTACTAACTGACGTTCAAAAACGCTTGGTTTCTACTGACTAATGTTAATTTTTTTTTTGCAAATGTTGCTCTCAAGGATGAAGGCGATACTTGAGATTTAGTCCACTGCGGCGATTAAATACTTTCTCGCCGCCATCACCTTTAAACAATCCGTGTAATTAAAATATTTTAGTACGAATGTGGTTGGATTAAATAAAATATTTTACTTGTGTTATCACTCCGTTCCCTGGCCCAGTAGTGTTTTGTTTGATGAACTACGAAAATGGTCAGTTAAAGGTATACTTTTATGGAAAATATGGGTAACAATTTTCAATTTAAGTACATACGTGGAGCTCGTTTTTCCCTAGATGGAATTTTTTTGTTTTGATCAGGAAGGAATTTAAGAACTGAGTTGTTGATTTCCATTTCGATTAGGGAACCCGATCCCTTGTCAGGTAACTCGTCACCCTGCCTATTAGTGAAAGTGGGTGCGCCCATGGATAAGGCAAACACGCCAAGAATTAGAAATATGGATACAATGAATTTATTCATTATCCACTCTTTAGCTAAAGCTGAGGAATGTCAAATTGGCACCCTTACTGGAATGTTGTCGATACTTATATGTAGGGAAGTCAGACTGAGAAATGGATTTAAACGTCCTCAAAGTGGTTCGATTATCTGCAACTGGGTAATTGATAAGTCCTCCAATGGGATAGTACATAACCTTGCGGGAGATACATGATTAATTGGCGAGAGAGCCAGGAAAAGGATTTAAATTTTTATTGAAAGTGCGGTGCAGAAATCAATGGCTTGTAATTAAACTAAATAATTTATTTCAACTGCTACGAAGTGGTTTAGACAGGGAGGGATGAAAGTTTGTGATGTATGTACGCATTTATTCTTTAATACACATTATGTTTACTAGTGGCGTATTAAAAAAAACGGAAAGACGCAATGGAAATACCTACTTTTACAATTAACTAGCGAATAAGCCCGTCCTACCAGGGTGCTTGTGCATATATGAAAATAAAACGTATGTCTATTGTGTCATGGCCTACCTATTTTAAACCAACAGCCGAAACTATATAGTTAAAAGTGGGCTGGTACATACTTACCAAAAAAATAATTTATACTGCACGACAAAAGTTTATTTTCCTTCAAATAATTTCTTACACTTTAACCAAACTTTCTTACAATTTGCCCCAACCATAAATTTTTCCCCTGTAAAAATTACTGCGGCCAGAAGGCCGAAGACCCCGACAGATATTGTGCTGACGTAAATCTCGTGACCTCTTTCAGGTTCGGACTCCATCTCTACAAGATATAGCTGTCTTTTGGCCGCTCTCTCTTTGGCCACTTTTATCCCCAAGGATTTCTTCTGCTCGTTGTAACTCTCCCAAAGGTAATCCATCAGCCCAGACTCCATATATTTGAGGAGAATCCAGTTGTACGTGGGCACAATGTGGGGCATCTTCTTACTAACGAAGCCAACAGTGTGGAAAGAAATGAAGGGCGTTTTTGCTAGACGAAACAGTTTCTTCCCTCGGTCAGTCACCAGCTCCTCAATCGCTTCGGGTATGAGGCCATGGAGGGAACCCATGCACACGTGACGGCCTTTCTGAGTAACCCTTAAGCACTCCTCCTATAAAAATATTATCATATTGAAAGAAAATTGTACTCACTCTAAGAACCCCGGTAACTAAGTTATTACCAGGCGGAGTATCTATGTGACTCTACCGCATGGTAATTTATTTATTAATGAGTGGTAGTAAATTAGTTACGAACTGGTAATATTTTCAATTTTCGCGACTGGGGTTATTACCGGTTTGTTAACAAAATGTCTACCACTTGATAATACATAAATTACCATGCGGTAGAGTAACATAGATACTCCGCCTGGTAATAACTTCGTTACCGGGGTTCTTAGAGTGCAATCTCACAAATAGGGTGACGATTAATTAACTTGACCGCCGTAGTTATAAATTTATCAGAGACTAGTTATGAGGGATTTCATTTGGTGACAATTTATAAGAAATTAGTGAGGTATTTATAAATAAATTATTACCAGTAGTCCACAATTTGTAACCATGGCGTTAGGGACATACAAATACCTTTATTTTCTGATTATGATCATACCTGTCCACGCTCATTTAATTATTACGAAATGAAGAATGAATGAGTGAATAATTCATTCAACGAATAAATAATAATGAATAATTCAACATTTCAAAATGAATGAGTGCGTTTTTTATTCATTTATTTTTTGTCCTATGTTAAATACATGAGACGAATAAATGAACGAATGATTCATTGAATGACTAAATAATGAATGAATAATTCAAATTGATTTCCGAAATGAATGAATTTTTGATGAAGGAAAAAAATTTGAACAGGTATGACTATAATCATAACTCTACTTCCAAGAGTGTAAATATGGGAAAGGAATTAATTCATTAAAAATTTAAACTTTGTAGACATAATTTAACGAACGTCGAAATTAGGGAAATCCTTAAAGACCCGCGTGTTGAGGTGGGAAATTATCTCGTTTCCCTCGGCTGCCAGGGAGATGAAGGAACGCCCTTCAGCCGTACTGTTCATCGAGGCAAAACCAATTTTGTACTCTTTGGCATCGTAAAGTTGCTCAAAATCTGCTGGAGGATGACTTAGCTCGGGTTTGGTCAGATTGGAGATGAAAGCCGTTTTAAGGTCAGCGCTGATGACGAACATCGCACAAAACCAAAACGCCAAAAGTAATCGCGAGAAGCGGTTGTCGGAGAGTTTACTTGAAACAAAAAGTTTTTAAATATTCAAATTTACCTCAAAATCTATCGTTGTTAATTTAACAATGCGATGACCCCAGCAATCTCGCTCCGATTTTAACGAAGCCACAAGAATTGTGTAGCCTTAGATAAATAATTGAACACGTTTTTAAGGATTTTTCGTAATGCTCAGTTTAAACAAAATTATGATATAATCCGTAAGCGAAAATTTGTATTTTTTTCCCTCTCGAGAAAATTTCACGGTGAAAATGCGAGTTTTCGCTTACGGATTCCATCATAAATTAGTTCAAACTGTGCATTACGAAAAATCGTGAAACACGTGTTTAATTATTTATCTTAGGCTACACAATTATCGTGGTTTCGTCAAAATCCGAGCGATACGACTGGCGAGATCGCATTATAAGTAAACTAAAATTGTATAAAATCTTGTATAAAATATGTGTGCAATATTTTTTTTTAAGTTGTAAAATTGTCTCACCTGTAATAACATTTGGGCACGCTCAACTCCAAGAGGCACATAGCCAAGAAAGTTAACGCGTTTGTAAATCCCTTCCACGAGCATTTCGTCAGCAAAGCATATACGAGAAATGAAACAGACATGAATAGAGCAAATTGCAATCCAATCCCATCTCTCGCCACGGCTAGCAAATGGGTGGAGCCTTCCTCTTGTGGGAGTCCGGTCACAAAGCTGAGTCCTTCCGGTATCAGGGCAACGGTGGGAATGGAGATCTGAGCACGGTCCAAGGTCAAGGTCAGCCATGGAGTCAGGTGGCAATCATGATATAGAATGTGGGAGAAAATCCCGCTCCATGTCCCACTCTTGGGGTCTTTTTCCCCATAAGTGTTAGCTATTACAGGATTTAGGGTGGCATTCAGTTTTAGAGAAATGGACAACACTGGTGCCAAAACGTAATGTTTGTCAGTCCCGTTTTTTCTGCAATATGGATTGAAATATTTTGTTATGTAAGTTAAACCAGTCCTAATTTAAGTGTAGATATATGTACTTTTTGACCATTATAGCCTTTAAAGCCTTCAAACTTGTCAAACTTAGCATGGAAATATGCTTAAGGAATATATTTACGTGTAAAATTTAGAGCCTACATACATAATCTTGCCCTTAATGTACAGATAGACGGTTAGAAGTTTTTTTGAAGTGCGCATACGAAAGTAAGGCTTCGTGTGGTTTCAGGGTTAGGGACAGTCCGTAAATTTCGTAATGCAAAAATCGCCATTTTCTAGACCCGCGTCCCCCCTTTAACATACGTAATATAGGCACGATATCATTACAGCCTAAGACCCCATTCCCCCCTCATGCGCTACGTAATTTATGGACGGGCCCTTACACAATATCAGACCTGGCCAAATTAGTAATTGACAATTACAATTACAATTACAAATTACAAATTAGTAATTGTAATTTGTAATTTCAATTACTTCGTTCACAAAATGTAATTGTAATTTAATTTGTAATTGAACTAAATGTAATTGATAATTTGTAATTTGTAATTGCACATTTCAACATAGTGTAATTGTAATTCAATTACTTCTTCAATTACAATTACTTAATCACCATCTATCGTGAGTTGAACCAATTAAAAACCACTGTTTTTGTTAAATTTACCAAATTTCACTAGTGAAAATTTCACTGCATTTAACTTTTTGGATTAAAATATACATTATTTCGCATTCGAAAATTTTTAAATTACATCAGAATTCATAACTACGGTTTGCAACAACCTCAACACATTGGGGCTTATGCATGAAAATAAGTATGTAAATGCTAAAAAAATACGCCATTGAATTTTAAGACAAATTACTAATTATAATTGAGATTTTTTAATGAACATTCATCATTGATATTCAAATAATTTCAAGACTTGTTCACTTTTAACAGGTTTAAATATAAATACAAATGCTTTTACTCCAAAATTTGTCGGCTAATTATTTTTTTCTAGCCGGAATTTTTGAAGTAAAAGCATTTACATACATACATTGCTAAAATTGAGTAAGTATTGAAGTATTTGAATAATAAATGATAGATGTTCATTTAAAAAATCACAAATGTAATTGTAATTTGTAATGTAATTCATTACGTAATTTGTAATTTGTAATTGTAATTGAAGCGAATTTTTTTAAAAGAGGTAATTGTAATTAGTAATTAGTAATTGAGTTTTTTTGAGTAATTGTAATTTGTAATTGTAATTGAAGTAATGTTGTGATTGTAATTGTAATTTTTAATTTGTAATTTGACTTCCGAGTAATTTGGCCAGCTCTGCACAATATCATAAACTTTGAGACTTGCATGTGTTGCCTAACTAGAGCTTCATGATGCCAAGGGACTACCCAGAGAAGTTTCCCCTTGTGGAAATTTGTACGATCGAAATCACACGAATTTATTTCAGATAATTTTTCAAATTCAATTTCCTCCGAATTGCTTGACATTGTTTCGACAATATTTAAACGGCAATGAAACGCAAACTCCTTCAGCAGATCATTTTTACCATTACTTACATCACGTTTAGAGAAATAAAATAAGTGAGCTGTTCTCTTAAAAAAATCAAAATTGAGACTGGACATCTGGGAACCTGAGGACAGGATGACGGTGCACTTCACATTTTTCCTGTTCGTGCCGACAGCTTCGACAAAAAATTGTGACTTGTTGTTATCCTTATCCCAAATTACAGAAACTGAGGCATGAGGGTGTCTAAAGCTGAATTCAAGATATCTCTCCATCTTCAAAAACAAACACGGTAACAATTTCTGGAAATTATTCTCCTCTAGGTGACAAAAAATACTGGCAACTAAAAACAATAGAATCTT